TTTCACGAAACCGCACGATACCAGTTTTATTCCACTAGGCAAAGGCAAAAAAAAAAAACTGATCTCACCAGAATAAAATGCAAAACAGTACCAAATCTCCAAACAAATTGACAAACGAAACCTGATAAGCAGACTAACGAAGCTAAAACAAACCGAGGCTGTCGCGTTACCGCGATTTGTCGGACCAATGACATTAAACAACATGATAGGCAACTCTGACGTCACTCCATAAGGCTACAGGCGAAAGATTGTATTTCATGATACGCTCCAATGCACATATTTCTCGTCGCCTTTCGCGACCGTTCTCCGCTCGCTTTTGCTACTCGGCGTTTTCTTTACGTGTAGTACCTGCCTATTTGCGCCTGTGACGAAAGAAAATAATCCTTATATCTAAGAAGTTTTGCTCACTTGGAAAGCTGGAATTGCAGACAAGCTGTGAAGAGTAATTCTGGACATCATAGACGTTTTTTTATCAGAGAAGATTACAAACGCGATAGCGTAAAGATTTGTGTGGAACATTTTGCAGAAAATGACAAAGTTCAAAGTTAGTAATTTTAATGTTTGCGCTTAAACATTGAAATTTCATTTAAAGAGGGTGTCATACAAAACAGCAAAACTGTTTTTACTTCTTTTTACGGTGCTGTGGTACAATTCCATAACACTAAGTTTGCACCTATCGAACTTGCTTAAGTAGGTGAATTTATTAGACATATTACATATTCAGTTAATCGTACGTAACCTTTCCGGTACATTATGCCCCGTAGATAGGTTTGTGTCTAAATTTAGCTCATAGCTCACTAATTAATATTATCTTCGATGCAGGAGGTTGCAGGGCTAAAATCAACTTTCAGCCTTACCGATCACCTGACAATGCTCATTTAGTTTGGCTCGCGCAAGTTCTCTTGAAAGACTTGTGTGAATGGGATGTTTTGCCTTCCTCCGATTTTAGAAGACAAATTTATTCTGAGGTATTTCGCATATAATTTCATTGATTGTTGGCTGTTTATAATTTCTATTAACTGTGAATTCTGATTATAACAAAGAGTTAAAAATTTTTTTACGTAATTTACTAGCACCTTTTTCTTGTCAATACTCCAAGCTGAGGTAATAAACAAGACAATACATTTATGTCATCTGGAAGCAAAATATGCACACTAATTAAAAGTTTGACACATTGAGATAGTACACCATGACAGGAAATACAAGTTAAAGATATATATAACCATCACATGGTAATCAAAATTAAAAAAAAATTTAATAGGGACTGTAGAGTATGAAAAGTTCAAGACAAAGAAAAGAACAAAAGTTCATAGCTCATGAACTCTCAATTTTGCCCCCATTGCTTTGTGAAGGCCAATATATTCCGACTGGCTGAATTGGTTTACCTTTATGATAGCAACGATTTTGTATTCAATATAGCGAGTTTTTTTCAATTTAATTGAAGTGATATTATTTCCCAAAGCAATGCTTGAATCGTCTAGAATAGATTAGTCAAACTCATGGGTTTTCGAGAGCCGCATTGCATTTTGAAAATTGTAAAAAGGGCCGCAAAGAGTTTTTGATAATGTATACTTAAAAGATAGTTTCAGTTTGTGACATATCTTGTGATGCAACTAAACAGTTGGATTAAGTTTTATTATTTTCTTTAATCTCAAATGCAATTACATATTAATATTTGCATTCCACTATTATTGCAAGTTACTTTTTTTTTACAAAAAATCATAAAATTCTATGTACAACCATCAAAATTATTTTTAAACAAGGTTTGGATAAGGAAAGAATATTACATACACTTAATCTAAATATATGGACCTAAAATTGACAAAAATACTACAGTATAAACTCATTGTTTTTTTTAATTACATTTGTCGTGACGTTTGGCATCTTTTATGTGTCACCAGCATACTAAGGCCAGGCTGAAATGATTTTATAGTACCAACTCTAACTCACGAGGTCACATGATCATGGGTTAATATGGATCTTTGCGAATGTTTAAATAATTCCAGTAATGCAAAAAAGTTACTTTTATCATTTCATGTATAGATCAGTAAAAAACAAATGACAGATTTTTTTCGACAAGACATTTCGCGCCACATTGCGTGGCATAGGATTGCTTAAATTATTATTGATAATGATTTTTAGTAACTAAGTCGTTGTATAATTATATTAATATACAAACACATGGAAATTTTCTGTTCGAATTGCTCTTCGAATTTATCATATTGACTGCTGAGCTTATTGTGTTTTTTCATTGTACTGATGGAAATATGACAAATTAAACAGAATTCTTCTTTGCTTCAGAATTTTGTGCAATGCAGAAATATTGCAACTCCCATTTTCTTCGAAAATGCCACCTTCTTCATGTACTTGCGTTTAATTTATTCACGCAAGTGTTTTATTCAAGGATTCTTCTGCTAGCTTGATGTGTATGTATTCTTAATTGGGTCAAAATGTAATTTTTCAAAATTGCTTTCAGTAAATTGTTTTTTGTGTAAATAATCAATTTCACTTTAAAAGGTTTAAAAAATCTATTACATTTAGATATAAAATACTATTACAATTATTGTTAGGCGTTCGAGGGCCGCACTGGAAGTTCTCTGGGGCCGCGAGTTTGACATCCCTGGTCTAGATTAAAGTTGGCCAAAATATATAACAGTATTTTATCGTGAATCATGATTATACCTTTTCCTGAATTTCTTCTATAGTACTACCAAAAGTTGATGAACCAAATATAACACATGTGTAGTGAGTGACCCGTAATCCTCATTTTCCAAGCTGTTTTTGGGTATGTCTGGGCGTGCTTTGTGCCTTTTACAATAAGAACCGCTATGGAATCTTACGCTTTGGGAATTTTTAGTTATTTCCTCAAGCCCTGCAGAATATGGAGGCTATACACAACTCTACCGGAGGGTCAAATATCTTTGCATGCCTCCATAGGTTGTTCTTCTATTGCAAACATTTATGAGGTACTCTAATTATATTTCTCGGAATCACACTTGATAACTCGATCAATGATATGTCGCCAGACTTCTGATATCTCCTCTCTGCTACAGTTGTCCTGTGAATAAATAATAGGAAATTGAGGTTAGACGAATAGTTGAAAGTTTTGCTTTATGTCGGCTTAATTTCTTGATTGATATACTTACTATTTTTGCTATTGCTTCTTATGCTGCAGGAGTCTCACAATGCTTAGACAGGTTTGTCCACAACTATATGATTTAGAATGGAAAAGATAATGAATCCAATATCTCATGTTTTATGTAAAAAATGTTCTACTGAATTTGGTATATAAACCAACTAATAAAAGGGTTTAGTCAGAAAATTACAAGCATTCGTGGCTCCAAATACTTGAGAGATCAGACTATACAATATCGTCCAGTATGAGTGAATGTTAGGTGAACTTGTTAACCCTTTGATTCAATACGCAAATAAAAGTGAATGAGCAATAGTATGTTACAGCAATGAGTATATACCCTCACTGATTAAAAAAAATCTAAATGGAGGTGCATGAACAATTTGAAATCATAAGGGTTAAGTAAATATGCAATTTCGGCAAATGGGCAACTACGTACCGTACTGAATTAATAACTTCGTAGTACTTGACAAAAGCTGGCTTTCCCACATGTACTTAACAGTGCGATGTCCGGGTGTGATTATACAACAATAGTATTTACCTTACCTTTTTCCAATTTCTTTTTACCTCAACTTTCCAAAATATCATTGAAATCAACAGCAACTGTCAAAGCAGGCACGAACACCATTCGTGCTATGCCTTGAAAGCAGCACACATCCGCTCGTTTTCGTCTCGTCAAGTATGTGCATTGGAGCGTGCTATCAGATACGATCTTCGGCCAAAAATGCCGGAGTTGCGCATCATGTTGTTTAATGTCATTGGTCGGACCCAAAAGGCGTCCGATATGCATCATTGCACTCGAGGTCTTCACTTGCTTATTACCACTTTGGTCTCGAGCATGGAGTACGGAGTCCATCTCCGACCTGGAATTAAAAATATATTTTTTGTCTGGCAATATTATATTCCGTTTTACAAACATTCAATAAAAATCTTATATGGTTTATGATTCCGGTAATTTAATTTCCTTTGTTAAAAGACACGATTACTGCTTTATGTGATGTAACAGCCAGGCACCCTCCAACACAAATTCTCTTATTATTATTAGTTTAAATACGCGCACCTACATCAGGGTAATAACTCGTAAATTGTTTAACCTCTAATCAGATATCAGTGTCATCCGGTCATGCGCAAGTAATGGAATAATCAATCAGAAAATGGAGTTGACGCAATGATCGCCTCTACCACTCTTATGTAAAATTGAAAAAAAGTAGACTACGGTACCTATCGTTTGGCGATCGATAGAGAGAGAATAGTAATTCAACATGTTCGCACAAATTAAGCTTTCGGGCTATCATTAATTGTTTTGCACTCTGCCGGTACCGGTAGTGACTTGTTTGTCGGCCTGTATTCTGTATACCGTACATAGGGTATTAAGTCTTAGAGCTGTACAGTGTCAGGTACAGATGTACCGTAGGTTTTAGTTTAGACAGCTCATAGTCATATCCGTGCGGTGCCATACCGGTGCCCGTTACTGACAGACCAGCAGACTGAGGCAATTTATATTTCTGATATCAAATCCTTGGGTGCGGGATTAGTTTGCCAGTTATTTTTCAGATGCATGAACTAGACTATAACCGACCAGCGGTTACGGTACGTGATCAACCTGACGGCAGCGAGGAGTCCAGCAATCCTTTTGCACATAATTATCCGTACTCCTATCGCTTGGCACGATGCTGCATACCGCCCGGCCTTACCCTCTAGTCATTCATTGAGAACTTTTATTAAGGTATTGAATTCATCACTTATACTATATGTATAACTGTATTACATGAAGTGAATGCTCCGCAAAAGTGTTTAGTCGGATACCTACTGTACGATTGCATCTACAAATGAATAACAGCTCTAAAAATATATTTTCATAATTGTTTCCAATTTTTCAGTTTTGTATAATAGGTGTGTAAAAGGGCTTGCAATGGAATTGGATAAAACATTGAAGGTTGTTAATGTTACAATACAGAATGCTCTCAATACTATCGATTTACATTGTGAAGGTTATCGACCATTTCAGTTGATTTTATACACATTGATTACTACTTTAGTAATACTGAAGTCATGGTTTTTCCTCTTCAAGAAAGATGAGCCATTGGCAAAAAGATCCAAGAAGTTTGTATTTCGCTGGATTAGAAGAATGCCAATTGTTGGTAATATGATTAAGAAGGAAGTTGGAAAAGTAAAAGACCATATAAGCGCGGAAAAACTTTTCAAACTGAAACCTGGTATGAGATACCTCCGTCAATTACCCCGTGAAGGATATTCAGACAGTAAAATAATACACGAAGTAGACGAATATTTGAGTATGGATCATAAGTGGGATAATGGAAGTGTTTCTGGTGCCATATATAATGGTAGTCCAGAACTAACTAACATTGTTGGACAAGTTTGCAGCAAATTTACATGGACTAATCCTTTACATCCTGATGTCTTTCCAGGACTTCGTAAAATGGAGGCAGAGGTGGCGAGAATGGTGTGCGATATGTTTCATGGAGACCCCTTAGAGTCCTCTGGTACCGTGACTTCTGGTGGCACAGAAAGCATTCTTCTTGCTGTGAAGGCATATAGAGATTGGGCACTTGATAATGGAATAGAGCATCCAGAAATTGTATGCCCAGTCAGTGCCCACGCTGCCTTTGAGAAGGCAGCTCATTATTTTAAAGTCAAAATTGTTCAAGTTCCACTTGATACCAAAACATGGAAAGTCGATATCAATAAGATGAAGAAGGCTATAACAAAAAATACATGCATGATTATGGGATCTGCACCACAGTTTCCTCATGGTATTATAGATCCAATAAAAGACATAGCTGCTCTCGGATTGAAATATGGAATTCCTGTTCATGTTGATGCTTGCTTGGGAGGATTCTTAATTGCTTTCATGGAAGAGGCTGGCTTTCCACTCGAGCCATTCGACTTTCGTGTACCAGGCGTTACTAGTATTTCTGCAGATAGTCATAAGTATGGATATGCACCGAAAGGCACCTCGTGTATTTTATATTCGTCACCAAAATGGCGTACTTATCAGTATTTTGTATCACCTGATTGGCAGGGTGGTATGTATGCTACTCCTACTCTCAGTGGTAGTAGAACAGGCACTGTAATTTCTGGATGCTGGGCCGTAATGGTAAAGTTTGGGCGCATTGGTTATGTTGACTGCACTCGTAAAGTCATTAAAACCGCTAGGTACATCACCAAAGAGCTCAGTATGTTGGAGAACATCTTTATATTCGGAGAACCAAAAGTCTGTGTGGTTGCTATGGGTAGCTTGGACTTTGATATATTCCGCCTCTCATCAGCCATGACAGAGTTGGGATGGAATTTGAACAGTGTTCAATTTCCTTCTGCTATTCATCTATGCTGTACAATGTTACATACAAAGCCCGGTGTGGCAGATCGCTTTGTGAAGGATGTGAAGCAGTCCGTGCAAAATATAATGATGAATCCAAAGAAGAAGAACACAGGGGCCTCTGCTATGTATGGTATGGCTCAGACCATCCCCGATCGCTCATTAGTTTCTGAACTAACTGGTGCCTACTTAGATGCAATGTATGATACCTCTGATTATCGAAACAATGGAGATTCTCATCGTAATGGACATATATGAAGTTCCTGTATTGTATTTTACATACATAAAATTGGAAATTTTCTTTTCCGATAACAGTTCGCTATCTATCCATTTTGAAAGAAAAATAAATTGTTATGCAATTTTGTGTGGTAATATTTTATTATGTAATTTATGAAAATTTGTTTTTATTGATGGTTGTTCTGGCATATGGCCAAAAGACACTGGTAAAAATAAATGTATCAAAAGCTGTATCAAATAAATGGATTTTTAGTAATATACGAGTATTACCAAGGGCTCAATAATACTGAGAAAATTTATACCATCCCGATTTATATAGGTGAGGTGGAAGGGATATCAATGATTAAGTAGGCATAAACCACAAATTAGCTTTCAGAAACTTATTTCAAACTCTGTTAACAGTTTCCATGTTACTACTTATATGCACTGAATTACAATAATCGTTTCACTGTTTGACAATAGAAATCGTGAAAAAAGTATTGATCAATGAAATAATCAATTCTGACACCAATATTCATAATAAGGATCTATAAAGTGGGTAAAAAGGATGGTCCCTAAAAATTATATCTCAAAGACGCACTTGTCAAAAGTCTATGAAATAACTCTGAATATAAAGAAAATAATGGGCCAAAGGCTGCAAAAGTCTATGAGCAAATATTATATAGGGCTACTTCAGGGCGTGCCATGTGGTTACATCACCCTATTTTTCTAATGGACAATATTTACTTTGCAGGTGTGCTAATATAAGGCCTTTGTTTAAAAAGCTGACATGAAATTAATTACACCACATGTGCATACGGTGATTAATCTGTTTTCTCTACAATGTCATATTGATCAAAAAATAGTAGGAATTTATTGATTGCTCAATCTATTGACCGAGTTATAAAACATAATCATGAGAACAAATTTTGACACATAATCATTTTTGTACCAGGCAGTATTATATATTAGGTGGGTAAGTCTGTATTAATCATTTGCTACAACTTCAGTCCAGATCTAATTCACTTGCAACGATTTTGACAGTTCACTCAAAACAAACAAGGCAATGGGGAAACAAAGGTATTTGGTTTGGCAGCACAGAAATGAACTGACATTCACAACATTCTTCAACCACAGCAGTATCCAATTTGAGAGCCACTCGGTTTTATTTTACATCAAAATTTATGTTGCGTTCATCTCAATGTTAAAACAGGTAAAAGAGGAATGGAGGTCAAAACTCAGGGAAAATCTTAAGTATAAACAAATATATTTAGTAAGGTGCATGTTTCAAGAATATATAACATAAAGATTAAAGACAATATAGAAGCCCTGGGTACAGCGGCCTGTACTAGTCCTCAAATATCTGCCATCAAATTAAATATTTGACCTACTAAAATAACATCAGTAAAAATTATTAATTTAATGAAGAGATCCTGGATATATTACGTTTCATCGCATATACTATGCGCTTATTCAGCGGCCAAGAATCTTGGGTTAAACTCCATGTCCGATTCAAAAAGTAATATTTGGGTAGTTTATGATGGATGACTCTAAAAACAATTTGATGAGATACTCAAACTACCTATGATATTTCACTATTATTGGACACTATAGAGACCATCTATATTCCTAAAAAACATCTCAATGTGTAATTCTGAATTTCATCTAAACAGAATTTTTTGGCCATCATTTTCTGGGAGTCAGATCACATTTCATTTGGAATGTGTTCAAGAGGCAGCACTTATGTGATTCACACATCCCTTCGTACAATATTCTTGAAATGGACCAGCCTATTTTATATTGAATAATTTCAGAATGAGTATTGAGTTGGTGTGTTGCAACTGGAGACCAAATTCTCCATGATTCCAATAGATCTTGAACAGGAACAAAATATGTGTGATCACCTTCATACATTTTCGAGATCAAATAAGAATATGCATCCAATTTGTTTGCTGGTATCAAGATTCTGAAATATTGAAATAACCTAATGGGTCATCTTGTAATGTGTCATGTTTCTGTTTTGAGATGGTTATCATCATTCACCAAATGTTTATTTCGCAATAGTGATTCTTATAAAAATCACTTAACTAGGATTCAAAGTCTTCAACCGATGTCGTTAACCTTGAACCACCTAAAAAGGTCACTATTGTGATCAAACAGGTGATCTAGTATGTTTCAAAAAAAGTGATTCGTAACTTGATTATCTTTAAGCTTGGTGTTATCTGTTAAGCATCATTGTTTGTGTTTAATGAGTTATTTGGGGTCGAACTTACATTCTGTTTTCCCCCATGTTTTGTTTTGGGAGTGTCTACCACATTGTGCCATATAAAATAGTGTCAGGAAGTTTCTTGGTATCAAACTCAGATTGTACACCATAGAGTTCAGGCCTCTGTAACGATTGTACAAATATTTCACCTGAAGCATTTCCCTTTAGATCCGAATATAGTTAAATCATCCAAATGAGATGCCAACCTCCAATCATTAGGGATATAGTCAGAATTGAAAGGAAGGTTCCAGCTTACAAGAATCCCTGGAGATTTCAATTTATCATTTCTAATCATAAAAATAATTTGAGGATCCATTGACTCACATCCTGATATTCTGTGAAAATTACAAAAAATATGTTGAATGCTGCTTGAATTCTAAGAAAAAAATTTAGTCACAACTATACGAACGATGTTTAAAAATTTGGATTACTGAATTTTATAAATCAAACTAGCAGTATATTACAAATTTGGATCGTGTCCATACTATAACCAGATAATTAGAATTCCAAAATGTTTCCTTGCAGTAGATTTTGTACTTTATAACACTATCATGATAAATGGAAATTTTACTCTGCTAAAGGATATAGATTTTAAATGTTAGTGAAAAATGATTTGATTATACAAATTCATCAAAATGTCTTCAATGAGTAGTTAAGCTAGAGCCATTAAAATCCTTGTATGTTGTGCGCTAATATTGAAAATTCTGTTTAATCTCAACATACTCTGGAAAATATTTTTTCTTAAAAACAATTCTTCCATATCCAAAGCGCTCATTCAACCTCTTCCCAGAAATCAGTTTAACCGGCACATTTTTCCACTTGGCAGATTTAAGCTTGATATTTGCTGCTATTTATAAAAGAAGAAAACAAATTTCTTTACTTCTATTTGTAATTGGGAAATATCACAAAATTTTTTGTATCGTCCGAGGCACAACTGCTGTTATGTGAATTCAATTTAAAATTACTGCTGTTACATAAAAGAAAATAAATGTATTAGCACTACAAATACATCAAATAAATTTGAATTACCAGCGAATGTTGGTGTCATTGATTTGTTATTTCCAGATTCATGATATACTTCTTCCATGTAGCCTACGTAAAATATATAACATAGAAAGGCATTTGTGAGAGAATAACTATGAGGTGATATTATTTCCACTACTTTTTTAAAATCATATTAGAAATAGAATGAATATTTAGTTATATTCGTGGAATCCACATTGTCAGATACCTGGATGAAAATGCAGAAATAGCCTTATTGAAGTATAGAAATCCCATAGATAGATTAAGTGCATCTAAAATATGTTATCACATGTACAAATATGCTAATGCCTTCACATTGACAGACCATGCATGGTTTTATATATTTCTTATAACTTAAATAGCATGCGGGATTACTCTCTTACAGTATAAATAAAAAATTCCATTTCATGCTAGATGATCATTGGTTAGATTACTGGTCACAAAAATGTTGGGGAATGGTAAATAAGTATAAAACTTCCACTATTTAAAATCTTTATTCAAAACAACTTACAAACCTTGATATTGGCCAAACAAAATATCACGCCTAAAAACAGTCAAAATATCCCTTAGTAATTTTGATTTACTCTGCTCTCCATTGACATCCATTGTCATTAAGCACAATATTTCTGTTAAATGGTTTTGTAGCATATCTCGGATAACTCCAGACTTATCATAGTAGGTTGTTCTTCCTAGTGGAAAAATGAATGAGTGAAGAAATGCAGTGTCTAAAATCGAAACCTGAATGGGGTACAGTTTTCAACTGGAATTCATTATGAAGGCTCTTATCTTTCCCTGGCAATGCAACCTAGCATTTTGAATTATAACAGAAAACGACTTTCAATTGAAGGAAGAATATATTGAAGGCTGAGAAAATAAATGCTTGATATCAAGTCACTATTTTTTCATACTTGCCCTGAACTATATAAATATGCACCTTTGCATCCAATTGTCTCTGACACAACCACTTGAATTTCTTCAACATATTTTTTGTTCAGAATTTCTTCAATATAAGGATTCTTCCTTCTGAAGTTCAATATCTTATGTGTGGTTGCTTTTCCAAGATAATGATCAACTCTGAATGTGATACAGAAAGTATAGAAAATAGCAATGCCAATAGGACTGTAATACTTAATCCCAGAAGAAGCAGATTTTGATCAACTGCAAAATTATGTTATTAGCATAAGTAATTGGAAGCATAAAGGTTGGGCCACAATTACAGCTGCAGGTTGCATAGCAAAGTTAGATACCTTTTTTTTTCATTGGCACAGAAATAAGCCGAAATTTGATTCGTTACCTTTTTCCTGTTAAGTGCCCCCCGAGTCATGAAATAATCAACACGAACCCCCAGTAACCAGACACCAAATAAAGTTGGAATATATTAACTCATAATTTTTAATCTGTGTTTTAAAGCAGTGGTTCCCAACCCTTAGTCGGCGGACCAGCACTGGAAGCTTTTTTGTCATTCTGTGAAAAATTATGTTGTTTTTCAGTCGTCTCAATCGCTTTACCCGAACCCGAAATAACAACGTTGTGTTTGTTCATTGCGCAATTTCTCTTTCGCCGACATATTTCTGTTTGTGGTATCAATGGCCCGACGACGTCTTGGCGCAGAGTAATCACACTTTTCACTTTTTCGGTTCCGATTCATCTCGAAATGCCCGTCAAATCTGGCAAGATTCAGAAAGCCAAAGAACGGCAAATGTATTTTTTCTGTTCTGCATGCTTTTCCTGCTTAATATGAACTTCCAATGAAAAGGTTATGAATATTTCTTTGTTCAAACCAGAAAACAGTCATGGACAGTATATTATTCCAGGGCTTCGCCATGACATCCAGTAAAATATGAGCTTGTTGCGACCCTGCAGGTTTGTTTGATGCGTTGGTTAACTGCAGAATGATTAATATGAGATCAGTTGACCAACAAAGTATTTTGATGTTTTGCAATAAGAACGAGGAGGATAAGTTTATTTAATAAGTTTATAAGTTTATTATTGATCTACTTATATCAATTTTTGGCCGGCGCATTATTTGTTTTTATTCATGTGAAATGTTTTAAAGTGCCCACCATTGCATTACACTTCGCAAATATATGTTATTATTTTCTATTCCACTCATTTCAATTTTGCCAGACAACGAGTACATTTTATTTACTTTTACCGGTCCGCCAGATAGGTTGGGCCACTGTTAAAGGATATTAAACAAAAAAATTCATTTTATTTATACAGGACATTAGTGTGACGGCTGTCCCTGTTTATTGCAAATAAGTTTCTCAATTGGAGGAGCAAACAACAACACATTGTCTTTCGAGATTTCCCAGTTTGACTGCAAAGCTGTGGATTTCACATTGTTGAGTCACAACAACGCAATTTCAGGGAAAATCCATGCTGAGTTTCAATCGGTACACATTTTCCTCTGATAGTAAAGGACATTAAAAATAGCAACACATAAAAACTCAACTGTCATTCAAGTACCCATGAAAATCTTCTCGTGAACCCCTGGGGGTTCGCGAACCCCAGGTTGAGAACCCCTGTATTAGAGTATAATTTTGATAAGATGGGCTAATCGTTTTATGCTAACTTCGAACCGAAAACTGTGGTTGTTCTAATGCTAGTATGGAAAAATCCCACCATGTGGTCGCAGTGTGGTTTGAGACGTAGAAACTATTAGTGTTAGTGGAATATAAATTTATTCTAGGATTTCGAGCTTTTATAGCAGGGGTTGGCAACCTTTTGTCGCTTGCGGCCAAATTAAGGGTTGCAAGTATTTCGCGGGCCGCAAAAGACATCACACATTTCTAAATGGGACAGTCAAGATTAAAACATTTCATAAATGGGAATCACTAATTCGAGTTCTCAACTTGTTCTTTCTAATGTTCATTTTCGAGAAAAATTGTTCGCATGCATTTGTACTTAAAAACATCAATTATGAATTTTTTTCGCATGGTTTGTCAAATTTGGTGTTCTATGAAGAAAATAAGCAGTGATACATCTCTCAAATAGAATATAGATTTATTTTCTCATTGCATTGCATCTCAAAAAATTCCATTTGAATATTTTCTGCGCCATTGTATCATATTTTATATCCCCATGTGACTATATCAGCCAAAGATTACGTCACTACAATGTCACAATCACTCAAAATAGAGATGATTAAAGAATAAAGACACAGAAGCTGGATATATTAATTCATATAGGGAGAACTGGCACTTAAGACGATGGGTATAGTTTGGTACTTCGCATCAACTTTTCTGCGTTTTGTTGCCATTAGTCTAATTATAATTGAATTATAGGCTCATTAAACGAGTTAGCGTGAATTATATACTTGTTGGGTTATAATATAATTTAGTCTACACGTGTCTCACAATAAATTCTGTTACGTGAAGAATGCGATCGTCAAAACAGCTTTCAGTAAAACGTCGCAGGCCAGATTACATTGGCCGTAGGTTGCAGCCTGCTTTATAGTATACATTGATGTTGTTGAAAACAGTGAAAATGAACTTGACAAACCTGAATATTTGAAACTCATTCAGGTGCTTACTCAATAGGGATGAAAGAGACTGTGCAGATTCCAAACTCTCCCCAAATGGCTTCTCAAAAACAAATTTGTAATTTTTGTTTCTTTTCTTCAAATCACAGTGAGAGGAGATTGATTGTATAATGTGCTTGTATGCTGAGGGAGGAACAGAGAGATAAAATATAACTTCATTGATAGATGAATCAATAGCGCAGCTCAATTTTTCAAAATCCTTTTCATTTTTCATCTGCAAATAATTTGTACTTGCAACAAAATTTTGAATAAGCTCCTTGCAGATACTGTTATTACTTGAATTCGGCTCACAGTGTACTGAATTATTGACGACTTTTAGAAAATCTAATTGCGGCATGTTGGAAAGCCCCAGTCCATAGAAGTTCATTTTTCTCTCTCTATTATTTTGAAAAAGCCTAAAAAATCCATTCCACAAATATCTTTTTGCAAGATCGCCTTTGCCGCCAAAAATGAAGACGTCCAATTCCGTTGCTTTGCATTGTGAATTTAAAACAAGGAAAACGAAGCACCAACACGAAAAGAACCAGTTGTTCGTCATTACTTGACCCTACATACTTATCGCGTAGCTCGGAACAATTATATGGACTTCGGGATAAGGGAATGTACGCCTCTAGACAAGGGGGATGTCCCGAGCAAGGATGGCGCATCCCGCTCGGCAGCTGTAACGCGTTTGGGCAGCGGTTTTCAAAAAGGGCGATTTGCCAAGTGCGCCTCGAAAATTAAAAGAATTGTGTTAAACCGTAAATATATACTACTACGGCTAAACGTTACTAATAGATGATCAAATGTTTTACATATTGTATTTATCATCGTGCTAAAAATCTGTGGTTGTTTATGAGGAGATCTAGTAATTCAAATGACATCATGTTACAATCGTTATTTGATTCCCAGATAATGTTTATGTATGTATGTATGTTTATTTGTCTCGTAAAAGCAATCTAAAAGGATTAGTAATTATAAAGACTGAAGACGGGATGTATGCGCTAGACTAGACTATACTGGCCTAAAACACGATTGTGCGGCACGGGCTATCTCAGATTCTACACTTATGGCCTCTTGTATAAAGAGGACATTTAGGCTATGACAAACCCTTTTTTGAGTCCTATGGTGTCGGGGCCATTATTAGATCCAGCAATTTTGCTGTCTTTCTTCAATTATTGGGTATATTACATCACAAAACACGAATCGTTGGAAATCTCGGTCGTTATGAACGAATCGATTTGCGCCGAATTTATCCTGCGCACACCAATATTTTCTATAGTGTCTGTGAGTCGGATAAACAACTAATGGCACCCTATCCATGACTGGACAAAATTCCAATTTGGCTAATTGGGAATAAAAATTGTTGTAGGGTGTGTCGACAAAACGTTTGTTTTCTTCGTCAACACCAACAATTTACATGCATCACGGAATATGAATGTGTTGGCATATTATTCTGTGTCACAATTCCCGAAGAGTGTTTGAGTAATCAAGTAGTCACGAAAATCTCAAGTAAAGTGCAATAGACATACTTATGCTATAGACACAATACAAATCATGGTGCTTCATTTATGAAGCTGATTACAAGCTATAACCCAAGCAGGAGCCATTAATACTCACGAGTAGAGAGAGCAAAAGATTTGCAGTCTTTTCTTAATTTTAAATCACAAAAACATGTTAAAATATCTGGCTCCAAATAACAAGTCATAATAATACACAATACAATATCATCAATAGGTACAACACCGAAAACATTGATATTATTAGAATAGGAAGGTGCAACCAGTGTGGCAAAAGAATCAAACAAGGAATCCTGATTACCACACGATTAATGTGGTACAGAATATTCTAGTTTACATTGCAGCAATTTCAAACTTTTTCATATAAGCAATTGTAACATACGCCTTGAAAAGTTTGAACGATGAATATACATACTGTAACGCAAAACACAATATAAGAAAATCATTGCTGTATACTGAAATCTGTGTATCATGAAATAAGCTCCAACAAGTGTTGCCTATTATTATCAGCATTTATATTAAGAATGAATTTCTATGTACACGTTTATGATATTATACACAGGAAATAGTAAAACACCTTCTTGGAAAGCAATCATAACAAAGAAACAAACATCAAATACAATAAATATTCAAATTGTTAAGCAAGACATGGTTATATAACCATATATAATAGGATAATATGCTCAATTAAATTCAGCCAAGAATGGACCCTTGTTACAACATATACCATTAAGTGCGCTGCTACTACACTCGATACATGTTTTTAAAATAGGGAAGTTAGCGAATTATGGACAGCGAAGATTACACTTAAATTTGGAAATTTTACCAAACAATTAGAGACTTTCAAAAATCAAAATGGTTTAGGAATTGCACTATGATACACAATTTGAAATAGATTCAAATACAGATGTAAAACAGAGAGATTATTAGACATTTTGGGGCAACATTATCTCCTGGCAACACCTGTGAAATTGACAAAAATCTACTTGAGTTCTCATGGTTATGTCAAATAAAATAATACATACAAAGCGACAAAAAATTGAAGCATCTTAATGTCAAAAGCTTCAACAACAAAAGTGAAAAAGGGTTACTGCATTTTGTGAGCGAATCAACATCAAATCATAGTATTCTTTATTAAGATAGAAAAATGACAAATCGATTGTACAATTGCTTTCCAGAAGTTCTTTTCATAAGATAAAAGATATCAAAACATTTGTCTAACTAATAATAAGGATGGAAACCATACATATAAACTATTATACTGAAGACAATGATCAACAAATTATACTTCTTTCGAATTCATTTAAATGAAGTTTACAATTTATCAACAAACTCCTCCGCAGCTTGAGTAAGGAAAGTTGAACTCGGTTTCAAGAAATGTAGCCGGAAAACAGATGCAAAAAATCGATTTAGGTTGTTTCTGAATAATAAAAGCAAGAAAAAAAGTCTGAGGATGTTCATTGCACTTATAGACGGAACAAAAATATGACAATCTAACCGACGCCAAATCAATGTGGAGCAGCCAGCAGGGGGAACTATATGAATATATAACCAACAAAAATTTCGATCAAAGTAAAAAAGGAATTTTATATCTAATAGTATCCACTGCTTCATTTTTGATTTAAATCTTTAAAAAGTAAGTCATGGAGTCATGATAGAGACCTTGTGTAAGTAAGACAAATGCTACCATTAATGATTGGTGGCGCCAGCGAAATTCTGACTTTGGACACATTAGATGATAACTTTATTCTTCTAAGGATCAAATAATATATTGAATATGGACTAATTTTACAGGAACTTCCTTTGAATGACGTAATACATGATTGCTCTCTGTGACATGGAGAAGAGGTTTTTTGCAAACCAACAAAAAAATGTGTAAATAGCTATCAACTTTTGTAGCCCTTATGGAAAGCAAAAAACTGCCAAATGTAAAATATACTGAATGCCAGGTATTAAAGACTCGGCAAGTTTGTTAGTTATTTATCGAAGAGACTAATCATAGAAAAATAATAGGGCAGAAATAAAAAGAACAAAATAATACAATACACATGCAGCAATCATGTTTCTTGTTAAGAGAAATATAAAAGACCATACAAGAAACAGAAATAGGTGCTCTTAAATACAGTACATTCAAATTCATTCTTTTATAGAGCAAATGATGTGTTAATATAGTTCAATAATGAAAAGTTCTGATTTGCAATTCATTTCCGATATTGATTCCAAATTGATAAAAAGTGCAAAAGGATATAACACATTTTAATGCCTAATCTTTTTGAACAAATTCTTCACATGGCTCACTCAGGCGAGTTGAAGGAGGGCAGAACATAAGAACAATGTGAGCTTTCTGCTATAACAACTAAAGTGGTTGTTTTCATCAAGTATTTATGAGAAATATAATAAATATTGAAATAATAAAATTTGGTTACTCGACTAATCCAAATTAAGGTTCCTATAATTGTGACAGATGTAGGGCAGAATGCGAGTTCAATCAATGTGTATGTAATGTGAATTTGAGACATTCTGAAACCTCTCACGATATTTACTGCAAATTCAACAAGTGTCAGATTCAGTATTCTCGTTATTTACCTAGGCCCCAAATCTGGCCTGGCACAAAGTTCATAACAGTTTCCCATGGACATAAAGTTTACAAAGTAGGAACCCATTGTAATACTTGTGTATAAGCTGTAGATCGACCATGCCTACTCACACTACAAGACATGCATAAATAATATATGTCACATAGCATGTAGATGATAAAATAAATCCACTATCATTTTATAGTTTGTCATGCATGTTATACTGAAGAACTGGGTGTGAATAACAGACCCTGAGTTTTAGAAAGTTTCATAGAACAGAGAAAAAAAAAACTTTTGCCTAAATTTGTAAAGTAAAAATAACTCTGATCTATGTACAAATTGTGTCCATTTTAACTACTGCCAATAATTTAACAAACATGAAGACGTTTAAATGATGAAACAATTATGCAAGACACAATGGATAACAATACAGTCACGACGAGCTGTTGTATAGCATTCATGCAGCGATAGAGTCCATTCAGTTGTGGCGGCACTCTCGATGAATAGTAAAATATTCATTCCATTAAACTAGAACAAAAAATGAAGACAAATCTTGTCAAATAGTAGAATGCTTCCCAGAGTTAAATCCAAACATCAGTACAATTCAAAACTGCATGGGATTTGAGCCTAAGTTGTTAAGCCAACATGGTTAGGTCCAATGAACTAACCATTGCTAACTGGTGCAAGATTGGATGGGTAACCATTCACTGCTAAATATTTAAATAAAATATAATAGCCGCAAAATTAGTAGAATAACAGCAATTCATATTTAGTTATTTTGTTTGAAATAAAGATGGCCATGGGGGTTTTTGCTGCCAATGATCGTTGGCAACGCGAAAATCAAAACTATTAGAAACCTTTAGTAACCCTCACAAATGTTACAATAGCACAATGCTTTTATTTATAATTTGTACATGAGGATGCTCTATGTACCATATACAATAAAATATGCCACAAGAAACAGTGAATGTCTATTTTTTATTACAAACCTGCGGGATCTCCTTTTAAACGCATGCGGGCAAAATCTTCAAAAACTATATCATCTGGTTCTCTGTTGCAAGAAAAGAAAAACAAATATTAGTTTAACATAGAAAAAAGAGCAACTCTAGACACAAATATACGGCACTCCGGAATTATTCGTACCAAGATGACGCACAACCTGAACAACCCCAACCTGGTACACATACTATGTTCAGGTTGTGCGCCATCTTGGAACTAATACTTCGGGAGCACCAAATATACAATACTTGAATGAAGTTGGTTAGGTAAACTTCTCGAAAGCTGGGAAGTCACCTCGGGCATATCGCACAAACCGAGAACACATGTTTGAATTCCGGTAGACAAGATTCGTCGATGAGACATGGACTTCGGAACTATGGGTCGCAGAAGTGACCTGAGATGTCAAACACTAAGTTTAATAATGAAATTTTCGACGATACGAAGGCTTGCTTGCGATTATGCGACCGTGCTGCTAACATTATGATCTATCCATCATACATATAAAAACATCCAAAACCAAGCGGGAGATTAGAAATATACATTTAGTAAAATTACAATGCATCATGCAGTGAAATACAAAGATTAATCAGCATCTGCTGCATCAGTACTCTGAAATTTAAATATTAAATTTTTTTTCCCCATCAGCAAGTTAAGTTACGCATTAAACTAGATCTAGAGGTAAATTTCCAAAAAAAAACTAAATTATTGAAATAATGCCTTTCAAAATCTAAAAATCAAGCAGAAGTAGAGTAACAAAAAATGTGGGCTCCGAAGCAAGGAGTGAATTGAGAATCTTTTCGATACATACACACATATTTAGGTTGTCTTTTTTATGTGTTTGCCGACAATATAGTAAATATTGAAGAATATTTTCCGATCCACACTGATTTTGTACTTGAAGTTTCTCATTTTGATAATTTTTCTTTAACACCCTTGATTACTGGGGCATTTACGTCTTGTCTACCGGTTGTAATTCATTCTAACATTATTTTTCATGTATTTTTATTTTAGAGAAGGCTTAAGATAATAGTTCTGCGATATGCCAAACAACTGGAGTTGGAAATGCTGTAGGTTCATCGACATTCTACACTCTGGGTGAAGTGGAACACATGTCTTGATCAAGTTCAGCTTTTAAGAGATAGTCAAAATCGTTCACTGAAACTGGACAATTTGACCAAAAATACGGAATTCCGCAATTTTTTTACAAACAGAATCCAGAAATTGAAAGATCCTGACTCTTCTTAACAATGGTAGGTGAATAACCCACAAACTTTTGGCTTGTCTGTTCATTCAATTGTGAAAAGTAGGTAAAACAAAGTTCTAGTTTTCAATTTCTGGGATTAGGATGTCCATAGTACTAGCTCAATATTTAAAATTTGGGATAAATAAATTCTCGAGAATTGGAAGTGTATCTGTTTCATAATTCCTATTACAAACTAATATTCTTCATTATATGACATATTACGAATGGGTGAAGTTTCAATATAATTAAAAGGCTTGAACCTTTGTACAAAATTTGTTATTCTTTCATCTTCATGGAAAATTTTCCGAAAAAAATCTGAAATTGTTTCATTTCTACATCTTTCCAAAATAGTGTTACTGTAGATAGTTAAAATGGCTTAATGATGTTCGATTTATTACTAGTTGTACATCTATATTAGGAACTACATTATGAACCACAGTTCTCTGTTAATGGACAAAGCTATGTGCCTTACAATTATAAATACAAGGGTCATTTCATTAGAAAATTAGATATGGACATCCCTATTCCCAGACGCGAAAAAGATATACAAAATGCACCTGAATTCTTCAATCTACGGGCTGCGCTCTAGTTTCCAATCGAATTCAGCAAAAAATTGAAGGAAAATTAACACAATGTCTCAACTGCAGACATGTATTGATTAGTTTGTGATTGACTAAGGTTAGCATTGTATAGCAAGTATAGCATCTGCTGCTTATATCTAAATGCTACTACGTGTATACACAATAATTACATTATCAGTCATGATAACAAATCTATCTATGGCCAAGTTTGAATGATGAAAAAATTGACTGTATTCATAATTGACTGTCATTCAAATTTATATGTAAGTACATGGCCAAGCGATCTATGCAATTTACCACATGCATCAATCAACTTACTTAGAGTCGAAAGAAATAAGATTGGGTTCCAATGCTTGATCAGCCTGGTTTTCTGTTTTGTCACACTCTGACGTAGGTAGAGATTTGTCATCCTTCGAATCAATTTCAGGTTCGGGCATGGGATGCATCAGAGTTACTGGTAATTCAAGACTGCATTCTCTGTATGGAATGAAATTACAGAAACATGAAAGGTACTGTATAACTTATAAAACCAGCTACATATGAAAATCGTTAATAGTTTATATTGATCTGGAAATAGGAAAGTTAATAAGATAGCCCTATGATATGATGAAACATGCCTGTCATCCAGTTATGTGCGCAGTAAGGAGCTAATTTATCTCTCAGATTCATATACATTGCCAGCTAAAGATAACATTACTAATTTTTTCAGTGAGGAAATCATACAAGACTGCTTGATCATAAACTGGTATATGCCCTAAATAATGGAAATAATATAGGGGACGCGGTTGTGCATAACTAAATAAAAGCAAAAGCATAATTAAATCTGATCAAAGAGTCAGGTGCAATCCTAGTTTTAATCTGTTAATATAATAATCCAACAGGATCCATTTAGCAAAATCAATACATGTAACTTTACTCATAAAACCATAATTACACTGCAGAAGTTGTGATTATTTAAATTCTTAGAACAATTTCCGAATTACTTGCATTTATTCCAGAGTTTATTTACTCTGAATTCCTAGATTCAATTTTTCTCTGGTGCAAGAATTGAATTGAAATTCTATTACTAAAGAACAAATTCTAATACTGTAACAACAAAAACAGATCATTCGTGAAATCTATTTCGATTGAAAAGTGAAAGAATATTGTAATTGAAATCTAACACAAAGTTATAAATTCCCAGTATTTCCCATTAAAAAAATGAATGAAAATATTGGCCACGCTCTGTTGCACATGACTGGTCTAAAACTCAAGTTCCAACAGAGTCATATCAATTGGTGGTTTGATTAACTTGATTCTAATAAAATAGAATATCCTTGATGGGCGTTTGCAGTATGTAAAATGATCTCACTGACGTTCATGCATACAATTCAAAGAATCGAGGCAACCTCAACAACAAAATTAATTTGGCAATATTAAGTTCTGTATGAAATTCACATAAAAAATGTTTAGAGACGTAGGATGTTACCAAAATGACGTACTTATCATTATTATGGAGGATTTAAAAGCATAAATTTCAAAGAAAGACGTTGGTATAATACAAAATATGAAATTATAGACATGAGCGAGTCCAATGTAACAAATGTCAGCAATAAATAGTACGCAAATGTTGTCTTCCAAGTTCAAACACAAATCAAAATTTAGCATCTATGCTAGTAAATCTCCTTTGGGGCATGAATGCTTTTACCATCAACATAAAAATTTTAATTTTATAGCCTAAAACAAAAAACTAACCCGCCAAGACCACCAATAACAAGTTTAACTTTGACTTTGTACTGAACAATGATGCCAAGATTTTCTCGGGGAACTCCGTCCTTTATTCTGAAAAATTGAAATAATGTTAACACAAGCAACGAGCAAGCAATATATAAAATATTCACACAAAGTATCAGGCAAGACGAAACACATGGTCAAAATCTTTCCTTCTATATGTTTTCTTCATTATAGTTCTATTGAATAATTAGTAACTCTGAAAGCAATCCAACCCCACTTCTTATCTACAATGAACAAACTAACACATAAATTCCACTTTGGAATGGACATGAATATAAAACAGTTGCCCAATCAATGACCCAAATAACCATAGCACTACTCTCCATTATTTGAAGTCACGATATGGCAAACAACAATGGACAAATTAAGTTTTAGGTTTTGATCCTCTTACATTGTACTGGATGCAAGATTTGTGTCTTCGTGTTTCAATTGTCCATCAAGAGCAAGACCCCTCTTATCTTTATTATTGCTTAGAATCGGACAGATTTGATATACTTTGCACAGTGTCGAACTTGGTGCAACCTGGTCACTGTAAAAGTTTATTGAAAGATTTAGAATATGTAGTCATGAAGAGTATACCACTCATGAATATGATGAATTTAACTGAAAAAGAAAATTTCAATTAGCTTAATTTAATAAAAAAAAACAAATTTCCTTTATGGGTGCATATCAACAGTTTATTGCTTAGTTACACTGTAAAATTGAAAGAAAAAACAAACTGATAAGTAACTTACTCTGCTTCGATAGACGCAACAGGACATTTGTACTGTGCACTTGAAAAAAGACAAATGTCTGCAAATTGTCGAACAAAAATTTTAATTTTTTTTACAGTTTTTGATGAATTGTTTGTAACTTGAACATTAACATTGATCGTTTCTCCGTGGTAGTATAGCTGAAATAGAAAATGTATATGTAGTTTAGTATTTGTATGAACCAGTATGTTGGGAACCTATTAGCTGATTGAATAATTTGAATACAATATTAAAAAAGATCAGATATACCTTTTCCATAAAATATCTATGTTTGTGGAATTTTACATCTACTTAATAGTTTCCCTACTGTGCAGATTTGAGGTTTTTCGATTGTCATGGGCCCATGGCCAACGACAATCTAGTGATAACACTGTCACATAGATAAACTCATGGAGATTTGTGGTGTAGTGATTGTATGATAATCCATGCACTATCATATTCAAACAATAAAGTTTAAAAAAGGTTTCACAGAAATAAATATGAGACACGAATAGCATGGTATGCATTACATATAATTCCTATCTGTTACTACAGATAGATGTCTGCGTAACTGATGTTACAGGGATACTTGAATGAGACGATACTAAATATAAACATTAAACACATAAGTATTATATTGCTAAAATGTCAGAAAACAGTTGTGCATTTTAGGAAATTACACCAGAAAGCCTAAGGGACCAGGAAACAGTACAGTCATGCCGAGTATATCATGTTTTATTCCGTAAATAAATTTTCTATATGAATATTCAAAAAACTCAGGTATGGACCTAACAAAATACTACCATAAGACTTTCATATTGTTGGGAGCGAATATGATAACTTTGTGCGTAGAAGGAAGTAGATGCCAGTAAATTGAAACCAGGGAAGCTGGAAATTAAATAACGGTAAGGAACGTCTGTGAGAATCATATTGTTGAAAACCTGATATTCGCAGTATGACTTTTTAAATCACAAATATAAAGAAAATTCAGTTTTGTGAGCATTGGAGTTTATTGTTCGAATTGTAATAAGTGATAAATTAAGCTTTTTTTTCAAAATGAAACTCTAAATTAGATAGATTGTTGTAGTTTTTCAACTCTGAATCAAATGCAAATTTCAGAACAATTAACATTTCAAGCATAAAATGATTGTGACATGCTGGCAATAATAACTATATGAAAACAAACACTTTATGGCAAATTTTCAGAAAAAGTTTATAAATTGACAATTAAGTTTCAATTCTTAATGAGAAGATGTTGTAAACCATCCAAGTCATTAAATCTATATACATTAATGATTTTATTCATATGAATATGATATTTCAATTTTAAAAGTTATTTAAATAAATTAATACATTTCTCATTTAAATATGATTTAAGTTTATTGCGCATTTAAGATTGTATACCAAAAATATATTTCCAGAATGTACTTGGAATAGATAAAAAGTCAAATCCAACCATTCCTGATAGTAACAAAAGACTGGTATAATAAATACAAAAAAAAATCCATCAAAACTGATCAATTAAATTTTTGTTGACCCTCTACACAGATAGTGTTATTATAGTGATTTCAGTGAAATGTCATGAGCAAATCCAATCCTAACATTGTTCTCCCTAAGGGACTGTGCTATTGATTTTCTTTTCTTGATATATTGTATTCTGGTCGAGAAATTCAATCATGTATATCAAACTGAAACAGAGCAGTTCACAAACCATCATACTTTCTACTGTCTTGAGATTCTATTTCTTGGCAGTCTGATGAACTTATATTATTATTTATTTTAAAATTTTGTGTCAAAGTCTATAAAGTAAAAATAACATATTGGCAAAATTATGGTACATTATTTATACACAGGCCATTTAAAATACACTTAAGATCATTTCTCTTTGAAATTCCCAGCACTATTTTGGCCATACAATTATTAATACTGATCTACAAAGCCAACTCAAACATGTTTTTTTTAATATAGGTCATGCCGGGCCATTAATGGATTATGTTTACAAATCTGACTCTTGAATATTGAAATAAATGCTAAATATAGAATACATGATTCAAAAATAGGGAAAGGTCTTACAAAACAAATCACTCACTTCTTTGTCCAATGACGCTTCCAAGCAAAGCGGTTTGTCGCTCATTAAAAAATCTTTTCTAATTTCTCCAGTAGGTTGTGGACCTTGTTTGTCTGGTGCATACTGGACTTTTCGTATGGCCAGTCTTACTGAATTTCTGAAAAATAATGAGAATGGTTAAGAGGGAATCATTTCTGCTTTATAAAAGTATGACATTCTAAGAAGTCTTCCATCAAGTGATGTCAATTTCATATATGAAAATTTACCTAAAAATTAAAAAAACATGTTCATGTTTTGGACTGTTGCATATCTGATACTCAAATTAAAAATTGGAACAAGTACTTGCCAATCTGTGGAAACAGCTTAAGACAATGATACTAAAACAGTGATAAGAATTGAATAAAACAAACCTTTTATGCAGTTTATCTTCTGCTTCCTCTGCAACGTATGTTTTCAACTCATAGTCGACTCCACATGGTTTTCCAGTGTCTCCTGGTGCTGGTTGTAAAGTTACTGAGCATGGTGAATGAGCTGGGATCTAAGTGTATGAAAGAAATACAATCACATGGAAGTTCTAACAACATAAATCTTGATCTAAATACACAGACAGACGAAATTTACGTTAACTGTTGTAATTGTGACATTGTATTGTGACATTCTTAGCAATGGCATCTTCCTCAAGTGTGTGACTATTAATTTCCTTTAATTGAAGGTTGACTATAAATGTTTAAAGTGTATTCTTAGAATGAAGATGATGTCAAAAGACTTCAGTTTGAACAAAAGTTGAAATCAACGCTATTCGAAAAAAAGGTATGAACTTAACTTCTTCTTTAATCTTAGGAGAAGAGTGGTTCCAAAATAAAAATATTTTTTTAATTATAAGTGTACAATTACAGTCATCCTACAGTGATTAAAAAGATTAACACGATTAAATTTAAGATGCTGATGAAAGATGGTCTTTCAAAGAATTTCACCAGAATAAAATATTATGCATCCAAAATGTTGTATTAAATATATACGTACAAACCACGTACAAGTGAACAGATCGCAGTACAACATACCATTACCAACAGACAGTGTGATCGGGGTTTCAATTATTTTTCCAAAACTGTCAGGGGTTAGAGTGATTACTGGTCATTAAAAAAACATAGTTTTGTTTATTTTTTCAGTTAGGTCAAGACACCTGATGGGAATTCCTATGCGATAAGATTCTGCCAGTTCATAACTAATTCATGTGTGGTCTGTCGTGAGCTGTAATAAATATTGATAAGCATAAGCCTATCCATGTATGTAAATATTGGAATGTACCATTTGTTTATTTAGCATAAGAAAATCATTAAATTCAATGCAATTCATAAAATACATTAGGTCTGATATTGAAAGAGTAAAAAAAAATTACATTTAAATAATCAGATTGATTAAAGTTTCTATGAAATTTTCCTTTTTGCAGTGAAACTGACAAACTTCACTCAAGAAAATTCCAACCAGGTTTCTTTGGAATATTTGGCTGTGTGTTTGGCTTCCCTCTCCATTATAAATACTACTAGTTTATAAATATATATAAATAAAAAACCAATCTTAAATAATCAATTTCAGAGAAATTGTGAAATAAAGTTTCAAAAAATATATAAATCTTCAGCCAAAATATAATGACTTTTTTATTATTTTTGAATACTATTATTTGAAATTTCATTAAACATACAATAGTATAAACGAAAGATCATGGTATTGTGGACAAATTTCTACAAACTATTGCTAAGATAAAAAACCCAAAATCTATGAAGCATTTCTCTGCATGGAAAAAATACAATAATGAAATTCGAATGAAAAAATTCCAATTACGTATAGTACCATCGCGCCATACACATGACTTATGGAATACAGAATATGTGTGGTACTGATCGATTACAGGTTTGAAGCTCATATTGCTATCTTTCGAATTGTTTTAACATTCATTTGGGCTAAACTAAGCTAAACTTAACATATATTTTAAAATATGCATATTAAAATCCACAGAGGGAAAGGAAAGTTCATTTGAATTCTATCATCTCATACCATTTCCAGTTATGAAATTGAAGTAATTCAGGTACCGATTAAGCGATATTATTGCCAATGTGTGTGATAAGAATAAACTATTTAAACAAACAAATGGGGTATTTAAATAATTTTACGATTCTATAAACCACAAAGATTGTCCGGTATGTGTACTTGGAAACACCATAAAAAGGTAATTTTCCAGAAATATTCACATTAATGTATTATATCAAATACCTACTCTCCCATTAAAAGAATTTGAAGTGAAGTGAACCTTATTTATATATTTTGATTTGGTTTTCTTAAAAAAAACACTGAGCAACAAGGTCTAAAGCAACTCACTGAAAACAACAACACCATATTTAAATAAATACTAACAATAATCAAGAAGTTGGAGTATTTTTGCATTAAATGCTACCAAGCAAGCATTAAATTATGTTGTTAAAAGAAATACCTCAATGAAAAATGGATATGCGTTTGATCCAAGCTTTTTCATCAATCTTTCTTGCAACCTTGTTTTTGGTTTCTTCTCATCATCATTCTCTGGTGGATAAACCTAATAAAACAAAAATAATGGATGATTTTGATATAAAAGTTTAACCGTGTGAAAATATGCTGTAAAAATTATTCTAAAAAAATCAAAAATGGCATATAAAAAATATGATCATATTATATCCTACAAAATAGCACCTTTGAGAAATAACTAAAGTGTTTCTTCCAAAAATCCAAAATGTTGGTTGTATAGTAGACTAAGTATAGCAAATTATATATATGATCAACGATGGTCCAGGGCACAGGAGTACAAGATTTGTCTACTGGTGACGGAAGTTGCATCAACACAAAAAAAACAATTGAACAATGTACTGAACCAGAATGGTAATTCAAAATATAGATATTGTTAGTAGCCTACTATTTATTAGTCATGCTGCTCATTAGTTTGTAAAAGTTAAGCTCGCATGATGAATGAATGAAATCAATATTGTCACATATACAGTATTAATAACATGTATTGTAAAAAGCAAGAACTGGTAATTGGGGATTTAAAGGGGAAAACGCTAACAGTATAAAGTTCAGAGAAGAACATGTTTAAGGAGAATGCTCATACAAAAATAAAAATGCAGCCTTATAGTAATCCTCTAAAAATAGATTATCGGTCCTAAATGTAAGCAAGAGATGAAATGTGGAGTTTGTTGCCAATGTCTGTGCCAAAATACAAGGTATACCAATGTTAATGTAGACTCATTGTTCATTGAACACACAAATTACTCGCAGTCTCTATCCTAGTGACATACCTATCTGAATGATTTGAGTCACATGTGGCATCATGCGCAACAAGCATATGGGAGAAAATATTGACTGACATTATTTTAGAAATGAAAAGTATTTCATGAAAATAAGTTCTCCAAGATTGCATATATACAGTTTGTGTGTTTATTAGAGAAAAACGACAATAATATTATATTATCAGACCCAATTTAGATCGTATGAAATTCCTCTGAAATTCCAAATTTACCACTAACATATACCAGTTATAAGACAAAAGTAGCATACTTGTTTGGTTGCTGTATAAAAATCTTTTCTAAAGGTCAATCCCAATACATCAAGATCTTCTCTTCCATATCGAAAAGCACATAGCAGTTTTGCAAAAACTGAAATTAATAATAATGATCTGATAATCAATAATAATATCATTCAGGTAGTGGTGACTGATAATTTACAGCAAACTGGGAATCAGAAAGTGTGTGAAATTGGGAATCGATGTAGACTGTAGTGTACCATAAAAGAATTATTGATTATTCTATTTTATTGAAAACAAAGAGGTGTTACACCTTTGCCCAAAACAAAGCTCTAAAAGAGCTTCCATTCATATTCACAAATACATAATATATAATGCAGAGAAATAACATTGAATCATGATTTTGTGACAATATTAAAATATTAGAAATAAAAAATTGTTACATAAAAGTATTTCATTCATTATATCCAACTCAGTATAAATATACCCTTAGTCGATGAATTCAACTCCAGTTTGAAAGTTCAAAATTTTTATATTAAGATTGAAAATGATATGCAAAAAGAAGCATCTATTAACCCCTACCCAAAAAAGCACAGTGGTTTTCAAATTTTTGTCTTTTTACACTGCTAACCTCAACTTAAATTTTTTGAAGACAGAGGAAATATGCAAAGTAAGGTACCCTAATACTTTTGTGTGAAAATGAATGAAGTAGCAGAGAAATTCGGACAGTCATATGATATCAAACAAATACATACTATTCCTTGAAAATGAATCTGAAATATTAATGTTCATATCTCACCTTTCTTTCCTCTCAAATATTCTGGATCAATGAGTACGACACCATCTGAAGATAAATATTAATATTTAATATGCCACCACCTTACGAATGTGATGGTTTCGTCTTTTCTCAATCTCAAGAAAATGTGACAGACAATTTACAGATTACATACACCTAATTAACATATACACAATGACAAAATGAAATTATAGTTAAAATACCACCAGATGACATGATCAATAATTATAAGGGAGCATTGGCAATGTGCTATGTATTCTACATGTGTTAGTACGGTATGTGAAAATATCAGTTTTGTCATTCTCCAAAATTATATATATATAAATGTGTTTTAGGTTTATTTGTTCCAATCAGACGCCACACATTGCCTCTTGGGATAACCAAAAATATAGCAAAACAGATTAAAGATGGTCAGGCTACCACTTTACATTTTTTATTTCATGAATTCAACTGAAAAGCAAATTTCAAAGATAACTGAAATTAGTGCTTTATGTCATTTGTCAAATTTAACATTTTCACATTGAAACCATCCTTTGTGCAATTCCATTATACACAGACATGTGGGCATTCTCTTTAATTGTGAATAACAATAGGGATCAAATTATACCAAATTTTTTTACCTAAAATCAAAAATAAACTGGTTACAGCTCCGAAACCCAGGCCCAAAGAGGTTTCAGAACTAGTGATGACTTACTTATTTATTTAAAAACAAGATATTACGGTATGTCGATTTTTTATATTATATTGCCTGGAGTTGGTTTCATAAAAAAGCAATGAATACTTCTAAATGGCTACATATGTATATTGTGCATTAAGAACAGCATTTAAAATCTCACAATTATATTAATCTAGCATGTGAATGTGTAGAAAAAACTATACTTTTTCATACCAATTGGATCTGTTTGTGTGATGTGATCAACGTAATCCCTTTTTCCAAGATAGGCGGTGATCTGCAAATATACTTGAGATTAGAAAAGTCCATATTAATCTCAACAGTGTTATATTATGTGATAACAAAACAACAGTTTTGTTTAAAGATGTTTTAAAAATATTTTGACAAACTCCAAAATTATTGGTCAAAGATTCTTATTAAAATTCTTAATTGCAATTATGAGAATGCTTCAAAAACAACATTCTAAATTCAACGACATTCTGTAACACTTTAAAATTGATATCTGAAAAGTCCTTACCTTTCCGTTTGGGCTGCTCTTCTTGAAGACACTGAAAAATAAAGTTAACACTGTAATGTCAATGACAAGAGGAAAATTTGAAGCATACCCTCGAAATCTAAACAACTAATACTTTATTTTTTGTACATGAGTAAAAATGCTGTCAGTATGATGCTCGACATTTTCACATTGACCATAGATTATTCAATCCCATTACACAGTATACAAACTTATAAAAAACAAAGCAAATCAACATACACAACGCCAGAGTTATAAATAATTCATGAATTTATCCTACCGTGTTCCTCCTGCAGATGCCATTCTACTATGCCTGGATATGTTGGGTATTTGAGAAAAAATGTATCACTTCACCAAACTTGATCCGATAGCTTGAATGAATTTAAGTCTATGTCAATAATAGTCGTACTTACACAATACAGTATTTTAAATCTAAAAATTCAAAATAAATATAGGTTTAAATGAAGACAAATTTATATATATATTACTACACACAGTGGTCTGCCATGCTTTATAAAGCGTCTGGTTCCATGTCACAAAACCAATTCACTAAATGAGCAAGGTGTCAAAAAATCAAGGTGTAAACAATTACCGGTAGGTAGTTCACCGCAACCTGGCTTGAACAACATATTTCATAAGTGCACGACTGAATGAATTGAAATGAATGTCTTACACAAATTAACAATACACACATAGGATAAAAGTTTAGAATCTATGCTATTCTGCTTCATATAAAGTGCCTATCCAGAAGCCTTAATTAAAACAGCTTTCATTAAAAAAATTCAAGAGTAATTTTGTAATCGGAAAATAATAAAAACTTCATTGCAGTTAGCCTGGTTAGTTTGTACAATTATTTCAAGTAAAGGGGAATGCCAAATAACAGAAATTACTTCATGTTATACTGTTGCATTGCCTTATTTAATTTTAAACATCAAAGTTCTATTATGGGAATCTCTGGAATTTGAAATTAATAGTTTTGAATGTGCAATAAAATTATTCGAAAATAACAAACCTAGATTTCATTTACAATTTGATTCTTTGAATAACCAGTTGTTTACTATAATATCATCCAAATACTAAAAAACATTTGGGGGCTAGTCTGCTTTTACACTGCTACAATGCCCAAACACTATTATCTGGTAAGACACAATCTAATCTTTGTCTATCACATAGTCCTGTAGTCGATGACAGATATTCTTTTGCAAAATTGGGTTTGAACAAAATTACATGCACCCATATTGCAGTATATTGTACTGTTATATTATTGTGATTACTTAAATTCAAACTACACAATGTTTTACAATGTTAGTCAAATGGAGGAATATTGAGGGGATAACTGTGCAAGGCAGTACCACACCTTGCTAAATCAGGAACTCCAGATGCAGATATCTGGACATGCGTTAGGAATATGCTCTCCACCGCACCTCTAATTCTGTAAATACCCTGCATGGGTTCGCAGGTTCAAATATCATAATTATATGATATTTATGGCATAATTATGTGCGAGAAGATCGCTGGACTCCCCGTCCGCTGGTGTTGCTTATGGCTAACATTACCTCCACCTTCATGTCCATGCATCTGAACCAAATAACTGGTCAACTAATCCAGTGGCAGCATGGTAACCAGACGAGAGGTTATGGTTCGCCATAGGATTAAGCCGCCTAATTAGCTATAAAGGAAAGGCGGATTTTTAAAGTCTTCCCTATAATGTTTGATGGCTTGTATATAAACCAAATTTCTAGGCTTGATGATCCTGTAAGTTAATACCTCAAGAGCTTGGGATACAGGTATGCAGACAAAAAATCCACAGCCAATACCTGAATACGATACATGGATAATAAGTATAAGTTCATTTTGACTCCATAATTAGCATGATAGTTAATAAAGTAATTGATAGGAACAAAACAAATAAAACTGATTATAGAATCGGGACGTACCATACATATAGCCTAATTCTGTAATTATGGATATAAACACATATATTAATAGATTTTTATAATTCAATAACTTAGCTTGACAGCCTCAAAATAACTTGTGAAAAAAATGTTGCAATAAAAAGAATACTGGAAAACAAACTCAAGCCAGCACAATTCTGAGATGTACCGGTACGATAAGTTACGATACCGTACTGTAGGGTACTGCACAATCAAAATGCCTACCAGTACCACTATGTTAGGCTCTGCAGTAGCAAAAAAAAATCACCCAAATGTACCGGTACCGTACATTATCCAGTACCGGTATTCTGTAAGTCAGTAGGGGTGCAAAACGGTACCGGTAGCCTACCTACCGGTAAGGAATACCGGCTGCAGCTAACGTTACATCGCAATGACTTCGGTACCGTACGCAATATCGCCACCAATTCAGCTAACACAGCGCAAGAGTGGGTGTGGGGGAGTTAGGCTGGTATATCCAGAAAAGCGCACATCACCGTCAATTCAGCTAACACAGCGTAAAGCGGTTGTGGGGGAGCTAGGCTGGTTGATTCAGAAAAGCGCAGTCAAAGCAACAACGCCCGAGGAAATCACCAAGAACATCACTTTTCACTCCCCTTACGCCACTGTAGCTTACTAGCTTACGCAACATAAATATTTTCCGAGTAATTGCTAGGTATCAAAATTCCCCAGGTTAAACCCATTTTATGAGGATATGTTTTAAAAACTACCGTACGGTACCGGTACTATCAGTGGTATACCGGTACCGCAGTAATTTATGGTGCATTTGTAAAGTAGGTACGGTAACTTACATTGGTAGGGCTTGACGGTGTGACGCATCGTGCTAAGAGTTAGGAATACGCTCGCCACCGCACCTCTGATTACACTTCGTGGGTTTGCATCCTGTGGGGATTAGTTATGCTACAGGGTTCGTGACTCCACTATGGGCCGGGGCCACGGCCCATCTAATTGGGCCACATGGACCGTGGCCCATCGAGCTATGGGCCGCGGCTCCATCAGCAAAAATTCAATTATCTTACCAAAACTTTCAATTTTCACAAAATTGTCAATATTCGAAGCAAAAAAAAAATCGCGGGATGCCACCAAATTTTTTTCTTACGATAAGCCTTTATATAAAAATAAAGCAAATTCCCAAGCTACAGAAAAGGATACTCCTGTAGTATGTATACCAGGTTAGGGTTAGGACAAAATTTTGTTCAGATATTTCACATTATAGCCTAGTTCTATTATGAGTTCGGGGCCTGTCTGTGTTAGCCAAGTGAATAGTCCCCTTGCACAACTTGATGGGCCGCGGCCCATAGCCTGATGGGATAAATATGCAAACCCTGTCCTATACTTTTCAATGCTTTCGTGAACAGGCAGCAAAGAGTGACTGTCGCCTTCGAGTCGCAAAAGCCCTCTCGTTTAAAGGTAGTAGCGCAGGGACAGGATTTAATTTGGGATAGGCCTATTTGATATTCTTCACCTCTAAGTTTAGGTTTATGCCTGAGCTAACAAAATAAAAATATTTGATACTGATGATATAACTTACGATTGAAATTGCTGAACTTGACGCTCCATTATATTGTTCAACGCCCACTATTCCCTCAACTAACATTGAAGTACGCTGACATGAATCTAATATTTCCTTGAATATCAAATCTAGTCACATTCTACTTGCGAAAATCACTATCACAAAGTACTGAACTCATAAATGATGATGTGAGATTGACCTAAGCGTACCAAAAATTAAATTATTCGAAGGTACTGCAGGCGGTGACGACACGATGAAGACATTTACAAGTACCTGGCGACGAGCAATAGAGGCCGAGTTTTATACAGCTCCAATACGCACGTTTGTTTCGGCTTCAATGAACATTTGATTCTATTTCCATTAAAATCTGATATTGTAGCTTACAAATCCTGAAATCTGGAAAGATTGTTCATATTGAAATTCAATATGATTATACCCATAGAGATATGAGATGAGCCACACCAGAACAAGATTTTGCTCAAGAAGATATCAATTGATTTCCTACACCTATTATTAAGCGACTGTAATGAAAACGTTCAAAAATCAATCAACAAAATTGCGAAATGCTTTACATAAATCGGGATTTCTTTTATTACGTATATATCATATAATCGGAGCGGAAATGTTTGTTTCATATATGTACATGCAGCATATTTTTTTAAGATAATATCGATATATTGAAAACACACTTGATGTCATCGGTATGACCTTTTTATGATATTGCTGATATATTGTTTGCTACCCTTTTTCAAGTTACACACAAAAGTTTGGAAAACTGGACCTAAAACACACGATAGGCAAATTATTTTTTTAAACTTGTTATTATTTATATTTCAAATATAGTTTGCTTTTTCGCAATTGCTCACGGTAGTTTCAACAAAAATTTAAGGCAATTCATTAGGTATTGCACTACTCACCACTGGCTGGCTATGTTACAGCAGTAGTAGGCTAGCTGATTACAAACCTAATACTGTTTACTGACAAATTGTTTGCCCGACAAGCTGAATTATAAGTTTAATCTGAATTTCGGAGCATGCACTTGCGACGGAAGTACGTCATGTAGTATAAAAGCAACGTATATGTTTATTGATGTATACTCCGAAATCATTCGCTCATACAATCTTCCACGGGAGGATTGACATCCAATAGGTTATATATCAAAGACAATAAACCCACAAACGTTAATTATGCTCGGCTGTCTGATTCGCTAAATATAAGAATTGCCAATCTGTTACAAAATTTATTACTTAGCAAAGGTGAAAAACAGAATAACAGACGAAGCTGAATTTGGATATGAATACATTGCTAACTCGTTTATCGTAACCAATTTTTGCAGCTTTTTAGAATCTAGTTCTAAACGCAATAGTTTCATCGAAATTATTTTTTGCAGTTTTTCAGAAGATTGAAGCATGACTAAAAATTGGAGTCCTACTACTCATCTTGAGTTTTTTATTCAACATATTATGAGTAAACGTACGCAAATCGTGTGATTCATTTTTTTCAAAATCGACACACGATTTTAGGTCACGCGAAATTTCATTGTTAGATTGAAGTGATTTTATACCGTCGAATATTTCATAGACAAGCATGTTTGTGTGTGTGTTTTTGGTTAGCTACTATCTTTCTTTCACTGCACATAAATTTGTAAATCATTGAAATTTAAATAAATACATGGCCTGACTTTATGTTTATGTGAAATCCCGTAACCTAAAATCAAATAGATTATATAACAAGTAGGTGAGTTTAATTTAATGAATAGTCGTCAAAGGTATTGACAATCTGAAATTCAGTCACTGGTATGTAATTACATCATCACCTAATTCTACCTTGAGCACTCGAAACCTTTCTTTTAGTAATATGCATTGTCATATTCTGTCTGACGAAACATATCGATTGTAATAATGATCTATAATTATAAAGCAATATCATTCACGCAACTAATTGCAATTGCTGTGGAGATAATCCTACATTTTTAAATACCTCATCGATGCCGTAAAAAGCAATAGAACTCAATCATCTTAGAGGAATTATTCTCAGCCGTCAAAATACTTCTATTACAGCTGACCGAAAGTAAGATAATGTTCGGCGATAGATGACTCTGCCAATGGCGAAATAGGGGTTTTAAGTATGTCACATATTCTTCTTGTAAATTTGTCGTTCTAATAGAAACAGCAAATAAAATTACTTTCCTTGTGTAATTCATCTACCGCCATGAAGTTAGTCAATTAATTGCGTGGTCATGTGTGATAAAATGATGACCACTTTGGCATTTTTTTGGCAATTTCATTGCCGATTCTACAGTTCTTGAGTTCATTTTGAAATGATTGTGAGCCATTCTTACTGACACTACTACAGTCGTATTTTAACGAATACTAACGAAGCTGTAGAAAAATATCTTTTCTGCTTTATTTTATGCACTTTCTGCAGTTTGGCCGCCTTTTACTTTTAGGTATTTCCAATCTCACAGCGGAACGTCGTGAATAGTGAGTGATCAATAGCTGTGACGTATAGAGCTGACGAGACGTGACTCGCATCCGTGTATGTTTCAGGGGTTGTATTCTTATTTAGGAATGAAACTGCAATCGTTTACTGATAGGAATTGACAAATTGGCGATAAGTGTCATTAATTTTTTGCTTGGTGAAATAAATGATAAATACCATACCGTACGGTAAAATGCTTGATATATATTATATTCAAATCAGTGAGAATTGGCAAACTAATATAGCCTATGCCTGATGCCAGTAAATGCACCACCAGTTTTGTTAATTGTTGTAAAAGTTTTGTGAGTGATTTATTTGTATGGACAGGGCAACTTGCCCGACACACTGGTTCTGCACAAACTCTGAGTTTGTCGATATCGAGATATATATGTGGACAAAGTTGTCTACAAAATTAGCACTGTAACGGTTTGAATATTTTGGAATGAAATACCTGACACTGAATAAAGCCTTGAAATATATTAGTGTCACTTTAGAAGCGTGTACTGGTCTGATAAGACAAACATGTTTTTTTTTCTCATGCGCCGTGCGTAATTCAAACATAAAAAACGTCCTGCTGTGAATTCGACCGAAAAATACGACAGCAAACTTTGCTTTAGGTTTTTCTTCTTTGTCCACACAACATGATATGACGTTATCACACGTCATTCAGAAGGTATTCATTTTTTGTATATATCAGCTCTCTAAGTTTTTGAATACATTTCCGCTGAGCCACAACCCGAATGACGTATAGCTAAGAGTTGAATTTGTATTTTTTAAGGTCATCACTGATTTTTTTTATGTTAAACAAGGCACGTATGTGAATTTCACCTCGATTAGGCTATTACACATAGGACTACATCCAAGTGTATAATGAATTTTGACACAAAGGCTCACAGATCCATACCCATAAGGCCATGTTGCAGTTGGCAGATATACCTATACACCATACAATTTGAAGCACAAAAGTATTTTCGATCTGGATTAGTAAAACATATTTCTTCTATCGTGTTGTAGAATAATAATGTTCGAAAAAGGCCGAATGGTGAACAATATCGGATCTCAAAAAGCATATGTTTATGCAAGAATATACCACTATTCTACGAAGGTACATCATGAAGTTTAGCACATCATAAAACAAATTAAAGCGCAACTCGTCATATGAATGCAAATATCATTCTTTAAATTCAAACTATAAGAAGTCAATCCGAAGCCACCTGAGGCACGCGGCTTGGACGGCGCTGAAAACCGAATTATAAGACTTTCACACTGACATACACGCTCATATTCACCTAAATTCACAAAATTATTTAACAGCACCGTGCATGTGAACTTAATGGATTGCACAAACAAGTTGGCTTGCGACAGGTCTGCTCAAGTATTCAGTGGAATTTGTCGCCTTTTATACTTTGGTTTAGTGAGAGAGATCAAAATCTGTAGCCTATATTACCACTATAATAATGGAAATGAAAGATAATCGACGTGTTATATTATTTATTGTCAGAAATAAACTAAGTGCAATACAAAATGTGTCAGAACAACTTTATAGGAATAAAACATGTATTAACAAATAAAACAAAACACATATAAACATTTTACGCAGAGAAATAAATTCTCAATTAAATAATAACGAAAGCATACTCCGGAGTCTGGAGCAATTTTATTTAATATATTTTTCGTTCAATAGGTGGAAAATACAATAATAATATAATAGGTAACCGCCGCCTCACGGAAGTAGTGCAAACAAACTAATCAATAAGGTTTTTTAACCGCAATAATAAACGAAATATTAAATAGGAATAAAAAAAAAATCGGATTCCGAAGATCTAAAGTTTATTCATAGATTTGATTTATTAATGGGGCCTTTAATTCTGTTAGATAAACTCTGAAAATGATAGCTGTTTAAAATAGCAGTCATCGTAATCAAGGTGTGCTCGTTGTACCTAAAAAATTTCACACGGGGTTATGAGATGAATATATTCATCCGCTACGATTGATCAGTTTTAAATTCAATAACAGCTTAACAAAATTAAATCTGATGAACAAAACAATTGACCTGGAACACTCGTTAACAGAATTAAAAAATCAACCGAAATGATATTGAAATGGAGACTTGTTTAATAAAAAAATGGACATAAACCTTAAATGCATCAAACAAATAGGATGTAACAAATAGATTTTTGAAAAAGAGTAGAATCGTTTAAACGGTATCTTGGGTTCAATTACTGATCATAGAATGCTTGAATAGTTTGATATAAGATAATCCACAGCCGAAAATAAACCTGAAACTTGTTCAATAGCTCTTTTAACGAAGACAGAGATTAGCTGTGTCAAATGTCATATCATATAAAGGTGCACCCATGAAATATAAATCCAGTTTTTATGTTGAGCGAAGTATCGGGCCCCATCAGGACGAATTTTATACCAGAAAATAACAAGAGAGCAAACATGTTCACTTTAATGCTTATATATAAATATCCGACGACTGACAGCGTTGGCTATATTCTCGTTTTTCAGTGCTACAAAAGTTACTCTCTTCGAGTCTGCCGAATCCAAATCTTCATCAAGAATAAAGTGAGTAATCAGAAATAGGTTCTGTCAAGAAAAAAAATCATTTATGCATTATGCTGTCATGAAAAAATCACTTATGCATTATTCTGTCAAGATAAAATAACTTATGCAATATTGCATTTATATGGATATCATACGCATGGCGAAAGAGCTTATTCTAAATTGGTAATTCGCAGATTGATTACTTCAATACTAAATCGTCTGCTCCCACCCACTACGTTATATAGAGTAGTATTTATTCTTTGACGGGGAAGGTTAGTAATTTAGTAACAATCTCGTATGTTAAAATTTTATCGTATAGATCTCTTATAGATAAAACCGTCAGTAGCAAGGTTTGTCGAAAAAATTATTTGTCTGGATCTTAACTTTGAGTCAGTTTCATAAAATATCGTAATCGTTAACTATGTAAAATATTAAGAATAATAGGGAATTGTATTTAAAAAAAAAACACCGGAGCCGGTTACCGACACAAGGCAAAGTCTGTAATATATGTTTTAAAACTGGACAAAGAATGTACAACATAAAAACAATAAATTTACATTTCATTTGATGTATTTTTTCCGGTAGGATTACTTGCTGCAAAACTTTGCCTGTTCACCCAATATTTGGTTTGGTTGGATAAGCCGTTTGTTTGTTTGTTGTCCATAGCAATCGCCTGATCAGAAACGCCAGAAATTCCTGTGAAATAATTAAATATCACCAGTTACTAGTTTTTACAGTGATTATATTAAAGTTTTACCAAAAATGTCAAAATCAAACTTAAAATTAAGTTTTTGGCTCCTTGTGTCTGGATATCGCCAAGTCATTTTGTAGCAGAACGAAAATAAAACCAACCTTGCTTCTTAACTCTTTCTTTTAGCTCAGAAATAACTATCTTCTTACCGTCGATTTGTCTTTCGAGTCGAACCTTTTCTCGATTCTAGAACAACACAACACAATAGGTCTGCTCCAACATAATGAGTCAACTACTAAAATTTGCTAGAAATTGGCAATTTCAGAACAGTGATACTGTATCTGTTTTTTTACTGCTGTTTTATTATTTTTGTTTTAGACTCTAAGCAGGGTCAGATAATCAACAGAGATGGTATTCGATGTCATTTAAATCAGAATAAAATTCGATTTTAATTTTTAGGCAAAGCGGATTTTATATTCGTGACGTTTATAGATAAATAGGAGAATAGAAAAAAGGGGGAGTGGTATATACTGAGAATGACTATACGCATTTTCGCACCTCGTTTTGATTTTCATGTGTGTGGTCGTAACCTAACCCAGCCCTAGCCAGAAGTGGGTTCATTAGCAGTTTCAATCGTGATTCCTTAGCGAACACAAAAGGATAAAGCAATATTTAAAATTTATCATTTTTTTTATGTGTGGAGGCATCAAGGTTGAGATATAAACCAGGAATCTACCGTGTACCGTGTAACCGTGTAACCAGGAATCTACCGTGTAAGTACCTCAATTAATGAAAGTGAAGTGCAATAGAAAATTGTTTTGCTGTAAAAGATAAAAAATTTGATCAAATTCAATATGAAAATATTACACTAGATTTTCGAATTTGACTCATCACTCATCAGAATCGTCAATATTTCGCCACTTTCTTACAATCCGAATCTAAACAAAACCCATACTTGCTGATCTGTAAAATCAATGAAGGGTGGAGGTGGAGGCAGTCCTTTGTTTTCTTCTGATACAGACGCCATCGAATATTTTCTGAAATTTCGGTGACGCATATCAGACGGTGTTGTCAAATCAAACTAAAATAGAAAGCTGGTAATGTAAGGTACAAATGCGTAATGTGTTCGAACGAGAATTGCATCAAACTGACATTCGTTGGAGATTTTAGGCTCGATGCATCATTCGTCAACGCGTGGTTTGTGTTTTTTTTAAATCTCTTTAATACCTTTTTTTTAATTTAGAACTTTTATAGATGGACGAGGAACGCTTCTCATTACCCGCAGGTAGCATATATATGTCTAACATTATTGCTACACCGATACTCCCACCCTGTGGTATGTGTACCAGGTTGGGGTTAGACCATAATTTTATTCCGATTTTCCTTATTTTAGATTTATTACAAGTTCGGGGACTGTCTGTGTTAGTCAAGTGAATACCCCCCCATAGGTTTCAATCCCTTTACACAACTTGATGTGCAAATAGGCGAACAAAATTAGTTACCTACATATTGGTACACATACTTCTGGAGCAGCGCTACACCAGCAGTGATGATGAAAAAGTATTGAAAAGTTTTATAGGCGACTGCACATGAGTTTTAAATCTTATGTCTACCATAACTGAACATAGTGTAATTGTTTCGATGATTTATACCCGCAAAAATATATTTTGCCGTGCGTCAGTGGTCTCTTTTTTGACACCTTATAATGTATGCATATATATGAATTACAAAACACAACACTAAATAAATAAAAAATATTAGTAATACTACACGCAAATACGAATTCAATTCCCCCAAGAAAACGAATTCTTCTTTGATTGGGATACGTTTTCATACGTGATAGTTTCTCAAGTCCACGGAACATTGGAACAATTTTCTATTGTGTATAGATGATACATACCTCTTGAGTGGGAACTTCCTCTAGAACGGTGTCAGGGTGATTATAAGTGTAAAATCCGACAGTATGATGATGTTGTTCTTCTGCATTCTCAGAATCTGCAAGCCATTTTTGTAGTCTTGCTTCTTCGCGCTCCGTTTCCTTTAATTCTTGTCGGAGACGACTTATCTTTAAGAAGGGAGTAAAATGATCATATATTTGTAATAGTACAAGCCGGTGGGCGCCGGGATGTCCACTGATACGTAACTTCGCTGGGAGATAAATCTTTTTATTTCTGAATGAGGGTGAGAGAGGGTGTATGCGAATTGTTTGTTGCAGAGCAATTGCAGCCTTTTCCAAAGATTGCAAACATGACGCGAAATAAATAAAAGATTCCGTGGAAGCACTTGTCGATCACCTTCATAAAAACTGCTGCGACAGCCAGCAAGACATTTTAGCAACACACAGCGTATCGCAGTGACCGATTATAGAAACTGCCAGTTTATTTTGAACGCTGTGCGTCACATCGCATCCTTGTTCGAGTGATAATACTGTGGCTAATATTTCAATCCTGTTTTCTAACAATTCCCAAGGATTCCTGGATTATCAAGATAAAGACGACTTTAGGAAAAACACACATTACTAGGGTGAGACAATTACCCACATGAGAAATTTCATCCAGATCGAACCATCCGTTTAAACGCTACAACTTCTACACAGACAGAACGACTAAGAATAAGAGTCTATGGAGCAAAGATCCAATAAACGAAATATTATAGAAATTAATAATCGGTTATCTTTATATATAGATGCCATCTTGGGCTCAGTTATGGGGAAGCGGCAGTCTTCAGTACAGTATTTGCTTTGCGGATATCGAAGTGTAGGTGGATCGTTTTATAAATTAGCGTGTAACATAATATTTATAGTAGAGTAAAAAGAATCAGATTTGACTTGCAAATCATTTCTTTTGTGCAAAGGAAATGCAGACAGACATACTCGCAAAGATTTTTCTTGAACCAATCGCTTCTGACGTTCCAATTTCAGTCGTTCTCGAAGTTCTGATTCTAGTTTATGTCGTCGATTTTCTCGTTCGTTTATTTCTGATAAAATGAAGTAAATATTTTGTTCTATGGCATTAAACGCAAAAGAAGACATATATGGACAAGACATATTTTATTTTGATGCTAGTATTCCGATCATTTTAGCAATATCAATAGTTTAAAAATCCGAAATTAAAAATCGGAAATTCCATTCCCTTTAAAGTCATTACGCGCTCGTTAAAAAGCCGACTTTTTCAGCATATAATGCGCAAAATATTCAATACATGACAACTACGAGAATATAAAATGCCCTACCATATTAATTTAATTGTGTCCACTGTCTAACGTAACTAGCGGTTGCATCTTCTTAGTCAAAATAAAAACATTACTGCTCTAAAATACCACGGCGTAAAAATATGAGATAAACTGGCTGATTGTATTTAGTTTTGATGCGTATTTTTGCGATATTGCAAATTCGTTATTGCCTTTAGAAAAATCTCAAGATCTGATATAAAATCCGACAGAGTACTATTTAATTTAGTACAGGAAAAGTACATATAAAGTATATCGGTGAATCAAAATTACATATTCATCGCCTCGAAATCCTCGCGGATGGATTTTTCTGTTTCGCATAATAATCAATCCATGACCGATGCGGCATATTTAAATTGTTTTGCTTATATCTTATATATCATTACAACCGCGAAAAAATCGCGTTTCCAATCTTGTATAATGTTAACACGTGCAAAAATATGCGTGCATTAAAGTAACAGATGAAAAGTTTAATCCCGCGCACAATTGACTGTTTCGATTTTAGTGATGGTATTTCGATTTTAGTGATGGTATGGTCTCCATCGCCAACCAAACGTAATGTGTTTTGCGATTTAAAATGCCTTGGGAAGCGTTTTTAATTTGTTGGGGCCTCGTACGCCAGGGGTCGTTTACGCCGACTCGGCAACCTTTTTGTCACTCGAGGGCCGAAATTAAGGGTTGGCGGGTCTCACATATTTCTAGAAAGTTGAAAACCGAACGGATGATACCTTTTGTAATGAAAATCAAGCAGTGATACATCTCTCGAATAAAATATAGATTCATTTCCTCATTGCATTGCATCTCAGATATTCCATTTGACAATTTTCGGCGCCATTGAACCCTTTGCACTTAACATCAACTTTTCTGTTTTGTTGCCATTTGTCTAATTATAATTAAATTATAGACTCATTAAACGAGTCATTGTGAATTTTATACTTGTTAGATTATGATATAATTCAGTCTGCACGCGTCTCACACTAAATTCTGTTACGTAAAGAATATAATCGTCAAAACAGCTGTTTTGTTATTATAATTCAGTGAAGCGTCGCGGGCCGGGTTATAGTACTCCGCGGGCCGGATTTGGCCCGCGAACCGTAGGTTGCCGACCCCTGGTTTACGCCTTTACGGTTTCATTTTTAGTATTTTATATTGCCGCTTTTCAATCAAAAACCTTGCGTTGCGGATTCACTCGTTCATTTGTCTTAAGCATATCGCCGCCGATGAATGCATACCAACATTCATAGGATTCACAAGTTTTTGCAAGTACAAAATAAAGTAATTGTTATCTTTGTCGTAGCACAATATTTGTGATTTAGGGAGAATCAACATCAACGTAAAGGTGTTTATTGCCTGAATGACACGTCAAGCTGACGGAAATAATCGACGATTTTAGCAAAATACAATCGCACGCGTTATTGGAGACTTCCTTTCGACCCCGAAACCCCCCTGGGCTGCGCCACTGTTTGTAGCATAAATGCATTGCATTCAATATTTTTATTATTTCTTTCTAGCAATATATGTAGTTAATGATGATCATCTTCCCTGACAGAAGTCGTACAGGTAGCTTCTGACTTTTGGTCAAGTTAAATAATAAATGAAAATTTCTTGGATATTATATCCTTAGAAATCCCAGTGCTTTACGCTTTTAATCGTGAATCACAATTTGACTTATCTCATATCTGGGAGTTTTTATTTCAGTATTTCGAATCTCTTATTCGTTCTTATTGTTCAGATAGGCAAAACATGATCAATACTCGAAAATGATTTCAAATATGTTAATTGATTTCAATTAACTTACTTTGCTGAATAGTGCTACCTCCAGAGTGATTTTCGTTTGAAGTTTTCTAAAAAAGTTGTTTAGTAAGTTAAGTTATAAAGCAGGTGCTATAATAAAAATGTATTTCTGTTTGTTTTCTACCTTGGACTTCCTCCAGTAAATATGAATATGAATAAAATTTATGACCCTTTACCAGTTGTGAACCCCGCGTCTTAAAATTGATACATCATCATGACATGATGTAAAGCGTGCTGTATCAAGATGTTTCTACATAGAAACAAAAATTCGGACTGGATAAATAATTTCATATGTGACCTAAATTGATTAAATTATGCGGAGAATTAGTGGCTTGCCATTATTGCAAATGTCTTGTCGGCTTCAATTCCTTCAATGGGTTGAATATGAGAATGATATTATTGAAGATTAACTTACGATCAATAACGGTGTATTTGAAATCTTTGATGAAGCTTCGGAACTAGAAGTTGAAATTGATTTCGGGCTATCTGGACCATTTAATTTTATATCTTGTAACAAAATGTTATTTGATGACGCGAATGTTACTCCGGATAAACTTTCATCAGTGTCGTCATTACTTTGTTGTGAATATTCATTTTGCCTATTTTCGACCTCCGCGTGAACTTCTGCTGTTGTGTAAATTGTCGTTCCAACATCTTGTGTGTCTTGTTTTTCTGATTCAATAATCGGTACAAAACGGGCTGCTGGGCTAATTTCGGTATCGGTTGCCATCATTTCAGGTGGTGGGGGAGGTAAATTTTCGTCAAAGTCTAGTATTGACCCCCTGAAGAACAGATGGAAAATTTATCTTAAATAAAAATGAAAAGTGTTTTGGAGAATACGAAATTGCAGCCTACATTTTTATCAGGTACCAGAAATATTTTCTTACTTTCTATGGTCTGAAAACATATACTCGAAGCACATTTCTTCAAGATTTTGGGACCCATGTTTTTTACGATCTCCTTTTTCTCTTTATCGATGATGGATTACACAAAATCACTCTTAATTAAGTTAATTTCATGTTTTGATTTCAAATATATTATATTAACCTATCCTAACTGATGAAATGTAATTTGATAAATGTGAAATAAATAGCGATCTGATACAAGAGGGACAAATTTAACCGATTTCTTTTTATTAAATGTTGGTTATTTCATACACAATGGACGCCAAATGGATATATGTAGCTGCTTTCAATATGAAACATACACGGATATATACACAGCCGCAAATACTGCTTGGAGTATGTGATTCATACAGTAGTTATTAAGTGGTAATACGCAAACTAATGAAAGTATCCCGAGAACTAAGACGTCGTTGATATAAGATAACGCACAACAGAAGCACTTTAGCATTTCTTTGTCATGTTGGTAATTAATCATATGAAAAAATTTGATTCCGATCAGCAATGGGCCTTCAGAATGCGGCAACAATCGAAATAATATTTCAAGGGACTGCCAATGATGCCCAACGTATATGCCAAGTAGGAACCATTACCTCAATTGAAAATCAAACATATATATATATAATTATATGAACAAATATTAGGCTAAAACTTATCTTTGTATACTCTTGACTTGCACTCTAGTCTACGAACAAGCAAACAGTCAAATATGCTAACTATATAAAAGTTACCTCCGACCCTGTTTCTTTATCAGTTCAGCCGTTTTAGCCAAATTTGATTCGAAAAGTTGTTCAATTTTTTCGTCAATTCCTACTTTTTGCTTCTGCTCGGAATAACATGTAATAAAACAAAAAATAGTCGTTATTTTCGATCTAAATGTTTATATTTTAAAAACACTGGAACGTCGTGTAGATATGCTAGGCAAAAGATGTACCAGCGATCGCGTAATTACTTATAGACAAGTATAAATAAGTTATTTATATTTTTCACATTGACATACAAAGCCTTGGGACGCGAAATATATGCAACCTGGCAAATAAAAGCATATTTCAATAAACTCAATAATAAAAGTTCAGATTTCATTGGATAAGAACGTTCAATCTGGTATTTGCATGTACAACTGAACAAGGCAAGGAAACAAAGACATAGATTTATTTTACATAGAACCGTTGCAAACCCAAAGGACCAATTCAGGGTGTTTAAAAAAAGAACAAATACCCTAGCCGGCTTATGTTACTCAATTTACAAACCTCTTTATTATCTGGATCTGAAAAATTCATGCTGATGCTGCTAACTGTTCGATTTCTCGGTTCCTTTACTTTTCTCACAAGCATTTTGAGTTTCTTTGAATCGTTCAGTGCAAGAGCAACCTAATAATGCGACAACGCAATCAAGTGAGATAAAATTTTTAATAAATTTTCTCACTTGCTTATGCGAAAATGAAAGATAGACTGTCTTGACAAAATGTTGTGACTGAAAGTGTAAATTGTTTAGATAGCGATTCTCTGTTAATCCCAGCGCCGCTCATAAGGCATAGTGTTTTGATATTGTGTTTTTATTAAATTCGAGACAGATAAAATGCGCGTCACAATTGAACCACTTTTAAGAACAAAATACAAATTCTTCATTATTTTACTATATAATAGATACTCACCTCAGATGCTTCCGCTTGTCGAAAGTTGACTCCATTCACTTCTAAAATCTCATCGCCAACTTCTACGCCGGCTATTTCAGCGGGTGTGTTTGGTTTTACAAATGAAACGAATACGCCTGAAATTGTATAAGTAATTTTCTCTAATTAATTCAGGAGTGATTGCTTTCAACATATCCTACACTCCAAATCGAGTAAAACTTCTCTTACACTCTTCAACGTCGGTGAATCGGAGGCTGTTGTTTAGTTGGCCCCGATTCTGGGTTATTCAAGAAAACTCCCGACTCCGTGTTGAAAATAGCGGTACTCCTGAAGTATGCGCACCAAGATGTCGCATAACCTGAACCCTAACCTGGTATACAACCTGAGTTCAGGTTGTGCGCCATCTTGGTGCGCATACTTCAGGAGGTCCAAAATATTATCGACTTGGATTTCATTCTTCGATCAGGCATGACAGTATATTAGGTACAAAAACTTGTCATTCGCAAGCCTTTTCTTGATTTTAATCCTATTTCACGACTTTATAAGTCTCCGAGGATTACAAAATCTTGTTTCCCTCCTCAGACTATACTTCCGCTGTAAACCCCATAATAGGACCAACAACGACTTCAACTCTTCAGGCCCGAATATATATTATAGTTAGGAATTACTATATAGTATTATCCATCCCCATCTTGACACTCATCTACTGTGTTTTGCCAGCAGGGAGTGATTACCAGTTAAGTCCAAATCACTGGAAACGTGGCGAATGTCGATACTACAACAAAAATTCAATATGTTTTTGATCATTCTTGTTCCTGAAATTGACCATTATGCTATTAACTAAATGTCATGGCTCACATAATATCTATGCGTGCATAAATAAGTGACGAAAGTGAAAGAAATCAGCACATTTTACGTAATCATAATAAATAAATAAATATCATTGCCATAATGCCAGCGGCAGAATGGTATTCGGATTAATGTTGGCATTAAATCAATATATATATTCTAAATTTGCTACTTGAATAATAATCGAATCTTGAAAACTCAAATATTTTCCTATTGACTTTTTGTAGATAACGAAAAATACAATCTATACAAACAGATGTGGTTTAAATTTAGAAAAAGTGATACTAATGATTTATTACCTGCTTTCATGTCAACGATATTGAATCCAATGGCAGAATACCCTTCCCAGTCGACAGTAACAGTTCTTCGATCTTCTTTCGCTTGCTTGTTTACTACAGCGTATAACGAGGCGGGATCATCGTTCTGAAATATTACGAAAAATAAAGATATCATCAAGATAAAATCTGATCAAAACGTTGGCACGAAGGAATCATATCTTAATAACGCTGTATAATATTATATTCTTCAGGTCGCTGGGGATGGATTACATACAGATTTCAACTTTTCTCAAAAAGTCCACCGTGAAACTGTATTGACAATGACAAGTATTGTCTACTAAATACATTTCATCTCTTCCTTTGACGACACCTAGATAGGTCACCTACTATACCTGCCTGTCCAATCAGTGGTAGCGAATAGGATGTTTCGTACTCCTATACCAAAGTTCATAGTATCAACAAATTGGTCAACTGACTGATTTCACAGTAGCTCCGGCCGCGCCATAGTTTGGCGTCAACGTGGTACGTGCAAATATTCCAAATGAACATGCTGAAATGGAAAAGCTCCCAAACCTGGCTTGTCAGAACTCCATTTTGCCCGACTTTCTTTCCCCCTTCTTGGCTTACATCACCACCCGTATTATTCTTGTCTGTGAACACCCATCGATGCACGCACTGATTAGTATCTAATCCTGAAGGCACGGGATACATTGCTATGTGACGAATCTTAATTAAAAAAGTATATTAAGTAAGCTAGAATGAGACTTATTGAAATTTTATTCAATAACTGCCTTGACACACATCAGCAGGTCACTAACAAATATAGCATGTTTTTGTCATATCTGCAATAAATAGATTATTTTTTGTGCGTACATACCTTCAACGACAGCATAGTTTTGTGTCTCGAAATCAAACATACAGCTTCTCGATGTGTACAAGAGATTAAACTATAACCGTTCACTCTCAACAGTTCGTCTCCAACCTAATAAAAATTTTAGAGACAAACAATAAGAAAACCGTAGAGCCCTACTCTACGATATTCAAGACATTGAGTATTAAAAATTTAGGGCAAAATTATTTATTTAAAATTCACAACTTATTTTTCGTCGTGGTACGAGAAATCTGGCATATACAATACATATTTAGATCGAACATTTCTGTGCGATTCATGTTAATTGTTGATAAATAAAATCGTATCCTTTTTTAACTCAGCCAATAGGATAAGGTCTAACAACGTATCGCTGAGAATAAAGTACCTGTACTCCGCATCTTTCAGCTGCAGACGCAGGTTCGACTCCGACGACGAAAAACCCAATTCTATGTTCCACTCCTCCGCGCACACTAAATCCAATTCTTTCTTTTGGAGACGCCGAAAGTAGAACGTTCCTTGTACGTCTAAAATAGTTTATATGGTGGGATTTGCGGAAATTATCGCTAGATTCAATAGAAATTATTACTTGTAATAATAATGTACATTAGGCATGTCATCAGTATAATGAGAATTTAATTTTTCGTATTCATGCGAGCCCTTCATGCGACATAATTCAACATTCAGTTGCTATAAAACTCGATGACTGAGAGCTGTTTCGGTAACACAAATATATTTATGGAGGTCAAACGTGTAGTGGGAATTTTTTCAAAACAGCAAAATTTAAGCGCTCCGAGGGGACTTTGACGAAAAATAATAATGGGAATTTTGAAAGAGATTAATCCGGTCGTGCACAAGAAAGACAATTTAAAAATGTGCCTACTTAGGAGCATATTTCGGTATAACATTTCCATAAGTTGTTTGATCTTCTTGTCTGATGAGACATTTTGAATCTTCAAATAGCGTAAGTTGATCAGGATGTGATATAATTGAACGCATGTTTGACACCAGTTCCTCCACATGCGATATTCGACTAAAATAGAATAAAATCTGCATCCATTGTGCGCATTATTGCGAGTAGCCTAGGGACAAAATCAGCGGTTCATAAACTTTTGGTTCGTGCGGACCCAAATTATCAGGGAATGAAACTTACACGAGAAAAACACATGTATTTGAATGAAACTCAATTTTGTGATCTTTAATGGGTACTTCATGCTTGTAAAGTTTGTAAACATGTAAGACTAAGAAATAAAGGCTAAAGGTCAACTCTTCTTCCTCATCTCTGCCTGATTTTTCTCTGAAATGATAAAAAAATCACACATGTTCGCTCGGTTCAGCAGATAAATAAACTGCAGATTGCAAAATTGCAGCCAGTAGTGTCTATCTCTATCTATTGTTACGTAACAATAGATGCTGACATACGTAACAGAAACGACATAGAAAGGTAAAATTAATTTATTGGTTCCTATCCAGCATTTAAAATATTAAATACAATAATTTAGTTATGTTTAACACAATTCTGATACTTTTCGCGACGCACCTTGCAACTCGTCACACCCTTCGGGGACCGCCGGACTAAATCATTCTGCACTTCGAAAACGTTTATTTGATGTTCCTAAATTCATTTTTACACCGAGATGCGGAGACTAAATTCTTTTGAAAACAATAATTGTTCTGTAAAAGCACTTGAAACGTTTGCTCACATTCGCCTGTTTTGTCAATCAAAAGAAATTTCTCTGGTTTTTCGAAGCCCCGACTTAGACGATGTGTTGGTTGGAATTTGTCAATAAACTTAGCTTAACCAAAACTCGCGTACTGCATAATGGTCAATCGGTTTTGCGAACAACATCCCTTCCACCCCAACATCAGTAGTGCTTGTGCATCTACCACTTGCAAGCATTTGTATTACCGGTAGCGCAAATGCCTTTGACCTATAAAAACCTTTGTTTTATGTAAACTTACATAAAAAATTCATCACTTGTTTGTCCAAAAGACATTTGACTATTAAATGTGGTTATTTTATGACTAAATCGTTGACTATGCTCATAAAACAGCAGATACATATATCTGGTATCACCTGAACGATTGACTCAATTTCGCAAACATTCCTAAAAGGACTAAAGCAGATATTTTTTATAATATTAGTGTGGTTTTGTTGACCGAAACGAATTCCGATTCATTCATAAAGTGCTTGTAGTCTTGTTATAATTTGGTGGACAAAAATTCAGACTATCTATACATCATTCTGCAACATTTTCATTGTATTAAAGTTGTTCTGAGATGGCAATTCTATGCTTTATTCAGAAGTGAAAGTAATATAGTTATACTTAGGTCATAAATATTTAATCATACTCACTCGTTATATAATCGTAAATGTTCATATAGCCCTTCTTTGTCCTGATCACGATAGAACAATTTGTCGACCTGAAAGAAACGATATAATTACATTTAACAAAGTTAGTAATCTTTTGTTCTTTATTCTAGTTTAAAATATTTTTGACTAGCTTGCAATTCAAGGCCTCAGTTTGGTTGTTGACTAGAAGCATCATCCATTCATCGAGATTCCGTTCAAAATCATCGTGTGTTAGAATGGGACATTATTTTTCGAAATAACACGAATATATATATCATCTTTAGGGCTGGGAATGGTTAACCGATTTAGATGGTTAACGGTTACGATTAAAATATTAAACCGTTAACTGACATCTTAGGTACAAATCATCTTTATACTGTACAATTCCTTCAAAAATGATTACGTCTTCGCAAATTTATCTCCTGAGGCGTTTAATTCAGAATAATATCACTAACTATATTGGTAAGAACCTAATAAACGTGAAAAATAATTGATGTACCAAGATTGCTGATTATGAAAATTTACAATGATAAATTCAGTTCATGATTTTATTGCAAAATCGTATATTCAATGTCATCCAACAAGTGCGCAGTTGATGCCATTTTTCTTTATGCTATCTCGAAATAGAATTCGAACACCGAATATTTTTCACATAAATGATATTTAATACCGGAACAGGGTTTTTAAAAATACTTCCACATGTCCGAACCACGCTGCATATTTCCTGCAGCAGAGCAATTATACTATCTCGATTCGTGAACAAATGTTGAGCGATACCAGGATAAGATCACGCGAAAGTGCTTTATCACTATTGTGACGTAACAAGCTGAAACTATAAATTACGACAAACGTCAAGCTGCGGGTAAAGTTTTTTCCCTGAAATTCCCAGCCCTAATCACCTTATTTAATATTCAACATCGTTTGATGCATATTGCATGTTATCTAGATAGATGCATATGTAAATATATTAAATACTAGGCTAATTCTATACGTTTTCATTATCATCATAGCACATCGGAAAAATATATCTTTTGACATATTTGGTCAGACTAACTTGTATTATTGTATTTGCAGAATTAATTCAAACTTGTGGATTTCAAGTTTTTATCAAAGGCGGTCGCGTATCGTAGTTCAATCAATCATTTATTCGTCGTCACAAAAACATCAAATGCACAAAAAATTGGTACAATAAATAAATATAATAATAATGATATTTGTGCGACAGGAGTCGCGAGGGACCATATTAGGTCTTCAAGCAGCGACACCTAAAGCGCTGTTACTGGTTCAGTGTAAAAAAATAACTACATTTGCTACAAACATTGACTATGCAATAGTCGTTATGATGAACATATGTTCGGTGTTCGAACATGTTCGGTCCCCACGATCGCTTCGAATCCGAGATCCTCGGCTTTGTATATATTTTAGAACAAATCGGTCCCCATAGGTTACCATGTCAAATACGTGAATGGATATTTTTATTATCTAAGTGTCATATTTCTTTATCATTCATGCAAGTTACAATGCCAAGTGTGATTGATTATGCCTTTATGATTGTTTGTTTTGTACAGACAGACATGTGTCATGTTAAATCGCAAATAATGCTTTTGAATGCGTGGACTGTAAACTATGGGTCATTATCTAATTGTATCCTTCAAAAAATAATGTTTGCTTGTTTAAAGCTTATTTTTTTTAAGAAAATGTTATTAGATTAGATTGGTGTTACTCAATTCGCCTCGATGAGATGGCATTTAAGAAACTACAGCTCAACAAAGTACTCCTTTCACAGTTTTTGTTTGCTGAGTGTTGAAACTTGGAAGCCCAAATTACGCAAAACAATTAATTGCTTCACAATAACAAACTTATGATGATACTTAACACCCTCGCGACCACAACTTGGAGGTTCTTGAAAATGTAAAAGTAGAAAAACTGACACATGTGGAGTGAGACCAACGAAGTTGCTAAAACAATGCAAAAATAAAGTTGAACGAACGATTAATAGCATTTGCGATTCTGTTCCACACAACAGTAATCGTACACGTCTCTTGACTGTTTGCACACGCTCGATTCGATCAATAATTTAGTTGATTGTTATTCACACCCATAAAAAAATATAAGAAAAACTTACTTGTTTTCTGTAATCAAGTGCAAGTTTTTCCATTTTTGTGAATGTTTAAATAAATAAATGTTCCATGTAACCAATCTTCGATATTGAACCTAATGTAATAACATTTGGATGCTAGAGATAAAACCTTATCATAAATTAAAAAAAAAAGTTATTTCCAAAAATAGCAGATAAAATGGTGAACCATGCAGATTATACGGTTCTTTAGAAGTCTCCAAAAAACAAAAACATATTTACTAGCGAGTTTGTACTTTGCTTACGAATTACCACAACCAGAACTTGATAAACAATTCGACAAAAACATTAAAAATTTCTTTGGTGTAACGCTTATACGCCGCTCACTAAATAGCAGGATCCAAATGGTTTCGTCAATGCCCTCGTCGTTGAAGCTAATCGATATTGGTTTTGTAGTTAGTTATATTTAACCAGTCTGTCAACAATAAGCCTTCTCCATTTCACGTCACGTTTGATCAAAACGAAATTAATGACAAGGGCTCTCTTATCTAAACTTATGTTTACGTGCTCCAACACAACGGCCCACTCTAGCAAATAAAAGCCAGCCACTCCAAAGCCAGTTTACTCCTCTCAGACAGAAATTTTAACAATTGTACTCTTGCTTATGTATGGGGCAGAGAATATCCCGCCTAAAATATACCTTTGAAATGCTGTCCAAATTTGTTAGGAGAATATGGAAGCATTTGTTCAAATTCCAGATTCCAAAATTTGAACAATAAATTCACAGCAATTGGCAATGGCTGAAATCTTTATACCAGATTTGAAACAAATAATAGTCGAGTGATCTTTTCAACCGAAATTGTCCTCGCTTGTGGTTGGTTTCTGCTCGCCATGGAGGTATCTGCATTGGTGGCTTTTGTAACAAATTCAATAAATAATTTATTACTCGGAGCAATGCTAAGCTATAGAGATAAATTTATAGTTATGCGATAAATACAGGGTGTTTGCACAAAGATCGATGATAAGCCTAGCTCATAATGAATTCGGCGTAACAGTATTGTATTTTATTCCGTCATGAGTCAACATGAATGAAACACTATGTTAAATATAAATTTACATCGTACTTGCACCGATGCTGTACATGAACATGTAAACCACATTAAACAAACTGTGAAAGGAAGCAATCAGTGGGAAAATACACTAGTTGCTCAATGCCGAGGAATATGCACATTTGAATATTGAGGTGTTCTGTATACGAGTATATGAAATATAAATTCAGTATATATAATATATACATAGTGACTTGCTGAGGAGTCGCTGGCAGGCTCTCTAGAAGCACCGTGAACGTGAACTAGACACCGAAATATTTTGAAAAACCTTCATCAAGAAACTGAATGAAATACTAGTATGGAATACTAAACACATGGTTTAGATAAACACGTGAAATTTAGTTGATATTAATGTCTATATAAAAATAGATAATTATGAATTCTTTTAATTCACAATAAAGTCCCGTGACCCCCGGAACAATCTTCCAAATTACAATTGAAATATCTTTATGCTTATTTTGAGAGCATTTTGCGAGTTGGTGTTTGCAAACTGGTGTGCATTTTCATTACACCGCTCCAATGGCAGTTACACGAGCTAATGCTTGGCGCGAACTAATGTCTACGACCGCCCTCGTATTCAATGGCCGACAGGCGATGTAAGAAAATTCAGCTATCGCTCATTCGCGCGAATAACAAATTCAAAGTTATGCTGGAATCTAATCGACCTAGATTATGACGAATTGTGCGTCTGATGAACGGATCGGACTGCGAGGGCTGTTGAAGCAGGTTAGCTGTAGCACACGGACACGGGCGAGCAAGTTTATTCACATAACATTAATCGAGTCAATAATTACTGGTTACTGAGTAGGGCTGGGCATATATTCGAATATTTAACTAATAGAATAGCAATTTACTATTCGAAAATTTGGTAACAGGTGACGCGACAGGTCACTTGCGCGTCGCTTAATTAAACGACGGGATTTCACAACTCACTTGCAGATTTCCGACGAAAACACGCGTCGATAGGTACCCTCGTGGTGTTTCTTGCGAGTTCGAACAACGAAGAATAAATTTTTTTCCTAGTAGGTGGCAACCCAAATTTTCTAAATTGAAAAGCGGCAATACAAAATATTAAAAAAAGAACGAAGACCACCATAAGTTTTGTTTTATGATGGTCCGCGACCAAGGTTCCCTCTAAGCTGCGCAACTGCGCAATTGCGCAGTGCCACCAGAACATTTGCGCAGTAAAATCTCATTCTCGCGCAGTTGCAAGTTGCAACATTTCGTTATCAAAGCGTGACTCATATTTTATATGTCATATTTATTAATGCTTAACTAGAATGCTCGTTCTATGTTTCACGCGTATTTCGGTGATCACTGGTCATTGTGAAGTCACACACGTGTATGTCACGCTCAAGTACATTGATTTCTGTATGCTGGTGACGCAAATTTATCGCTGTTCCGCGTTAAGGAATCTGATAATCTGCAAAATTTGTCGGTAAGTGGCACCTAATAGTGATTTGGAAAAGGCAAATCTTGGATGGGAAGTTGACTATCTAAGACGCCATCCAAATCAGAAAAAGCATATTGACGCACTAGATCAGTGGTTCCCAACCGCCGGTGCCGGTCCACGAAGCTATTTTGCCGTTCAATGAGAAATTTCGTTTTGTTGATTTTCTGCCGTTTCGATCGCTTTATCGAATCCGAAAAGACGGATTTACGTTGGTTTATTACGCATTTCTCTTCCGCCGTCATATTACTGTTTGGTGAGGGCGGTATTAATCGCCTGGCAACGTCTTGGCGCCGTGTGATCACACTTTTCGTTTCCGATTCATCGCAAAATCGCTCCGTCAAATATCGCAAGATTCATAAACCTGGAAATCAGCATGCGTGCTTTTTCCGTTCTGCGTGCTTTTCTTCATTAATATTACCATTCAATATAAGGTTATGAACATTTCTTTGTTTAAACTAGAAAACAGTCAAAAATGGTATAATATTACAGAGTATGCCTTGGGAACCAGCAAGATATGAACTTGTGGTGGTGGTGGTGGTGGTGGTCATGAGACGCGCAACAAAAACATTAAGAAATTTTCTAGGTGATGCACAGCAGGATTTTGACCCCCTGGTGCCAAGTTAGAAACTACTTTATCATCGTAATATAAATTCATTTGTCTGGGGCATCGATCAAATGCAGAGGGATGATATGATGAAACCACTAGTTTACAGTCCAGATTTATAAAAAAATCACTGTCACAATATTTGAGCTCTCTCGATAACGAATGCTTATCGCTAGGTAATCGAACAATCAAACTGTTGTCCAAATATTCAACCAGTTACTTGTACGAAAAAAACTTTATCATTGTTAGCTTTAGCTAAAACGAAGCAAAGAAATAGACTGCTAGCCACTGCAGAGCTAGATGTTGCAAAATCATTTTTTATGCCTCGTTTGCAATCTTGTATTGGCAACGAAACAGCAGCAAATTCTCGCTCGAGGTAATTGTGTTTGTACATGATTTGGCATGTACATGTTTTTTATGTGAGGTTTTTCTTGGTGTATTTTTTACGCGAAATCGGTGCCCAGCACTTCATGTTTTTATGCAAGTATATGTTATTATTTTATGTTCCACCTTTTTGCCGGTCCGCGAGGGTAGAAAGGTTGGGCACCACTGCAATAGATGCATTAACTCAGAAGCGAAACGTGGAAGCAAGCGGAGGTTGTTCGAACTTTCTCATCGCAATATCAACCGCTGAAGAGAGTGGAGTTTTGAAATAAAGCCTCACATAGATAGTGATCTACCACGTGTTAAGCTGAATTCATCAATATTGTCGCGAGGTGATAAATAGTCGTGTGTCAAAATAGACTAAATTGCCACATTCATGTTGAAACAAAAATTACGGTACTGAATTTTTGAAGAGCATAGAATTTGTCGCCAGGAAAGAAATTTTACTAAGCGCAAGACAAACAAAATTTCATACCCAACCTTTTTCGTCTCGCGGGCCACTTTCACGTGACGAAATCAATCGCGGGCCGCAAACGTTTGTACCAAACATTAATAAGACCAGAAAAGTCCTGATTTCGGTGTAGGTAATTACATAATAAATAAAAGGCGAGTTTAAAATAAAATCAATCAAATTAATAATTGCTTTCTGGTTACTCGGTAGGGCTAGCAAATTATTCGAATATTAGAATAGCAGTTTACTATTCGAATATCTGGTATACGGGGCGTGGACATATCACTTCGACCGAATCAAAGAATCAATCATTACACAACACCCTTGCGGTTTTTTGACGACCACGCAAGGAAGACACACACCACGTCAAAATTGAGTGTTATATTTGCGTTATAGTGTTTTTATTAATTCATTTTCAGTAGCTAAGATACTGCTTTAATGTTTAAATGAGCCTAATGTGCGCCAATGTCGCGCAATATCAAGTTTTAGTGGGCCGTATCGTAAAATTTGAAACACCAATACAAGTATTTAATGAAGTAACATAACGAAGATTTCTGAACGAATAGTCGATATATACTGATTTGTGACTAATGAGTAGCAACGCCATTACGTCAATTTCATCAGAATTATTGACGGATAAGCAGTGACGACATTTCCAAAATCTTATTTAACGACAAACATAACATGTAAAAAAATACAAACATAAAAAGACAACGAGTCCGGCGACCAATACCCAAGATATTGTTGACTTTTTATTTTACGTTAGCGATAAAGACGATCAAAGCCGACACGAAAGAAAGCAACCAGATTGAAATTAATTTGCAAACTTAGGCTCCAAGTTCATTCCTATAATTGCGCTCAGCGTTCGTCCTCAATGATAGAACAATATCTTTCGAGTTCGTCGAACAGAACGCACAGTTTTGCGAGAGAAAAAAACTGACGTTGATGCCCACCAGGGTGCAAGACTTGACACATATTAATAATAAGAACCGGCTTTTGAACGTAGATAGATGGCAGGAATAATTACACCAAAATCACGAAAGATACTTATGTATATATAGTAAAATGTATGTAAAAAATGTATAGTAAAAATTTAAAAAGTCTGCTTACAAACTTTATAGGGCGGGCCGCAAAAAACAGTTCGGCGGGCCGCATGCGGCCCGCGGGTTGGGCAGCCGTGTACTAGATCATTAGAATTCTTTGCTTTACTGCCTCTACATTGGTACGTACAGTACTGCCGTAGGTGTTGTACGAACAGCTCAGATTTGTCGAATTCACAAAAATACGAGTCAAAACAAAATATAATCGGGCACTTTACCACGCATTTTTGTGTCCACGGATTGTCGTGATATTTTCTGAGTAGTATTGCTTTTATTTCGTCAACACAACCGCAGATTAAAATGATCACAATTAAATTAAAAATTAATAATAAAGCAAAGCGATGAATATGTATTTTTGATTTACTAATATACTTTAAATATATTTTTAATAAGTACTAAATCAAGTTTTACTCTCTAAAAATTTATAGCAGATAGTAGGATTTTTCTATCGGCGATAACAAATTCGCAAGATCGCAAAAAATATGTATCAAAACTAAAAATAATCGGGCATTCTAACATTATTATGTTCGCAGATTGCCGTGGCATTTTAAAGAAGTAATGCTCTCATCTTGTCGTAAGTCGACGCAACCGCGAGTTACCATGAACACAATTAAATTGGAATAGGAAGACATTTTAATTTCTCGTCGTTGTCA